AAAGCAACAGGGATCATAGCAATAATCTTTAATGTTTCAAGTATGGTCACAGCAGAGTGGAAAGCCATTTATAATTCCTCTTTATCATTCCAATACTAATATAACTACAGCAATAAAAGTTCACTTTTTTCAAAACTAAATGATAAGTACCTGAAAATAACCCTTTGCAAAATTTTGAATAAATAAATAATTCATGAAATGAAATAAAATGTCAAAAATACTAGACTGTACTCCTTTCCAGATCTAGCCAGATACAATATTTCAATGTTTATTCAAATTAAGTAATTTGCAAAATAAATACAACTTCCAATCCCATCATCAAGTGATGCTGATTGGTAACACAACATGAATAAATAATTTGTTTACCATTTTCTCCAAAAAATGGAACCACTTCAACATAATAGCAGCACAAGCTGACATCCTTTTACAATGTGAATCTTTTGCATTTTTCTACAGCGTGAAAAGCAGCCATTTACTTTTGGTGTCCTCTATGTCTCCACATCTACAATTTCATCAAGTCAAAGCTACATAAACAGTTACATTGAACATAAAAACTAGACTACTGGACTACGTGTAGACTTGTTTCTGTGGATACAGTCTCTCACATTATATAATAAATTCTAATGCAATTTATAACATTGCAGTGATAGACATGCTACATGGACAAGATTATCTCTGATATGGATATCTTTTAAGCCGTGTTCATAGCTTGGCTTGATATAATAATATATCTATATATATTTTACACTGGTGTTTGTTTTATGTCCTAGCTTGATCAGTCTACTGAGTTTTTGGCAACTGGGTTCTTGGAAAATACACCATCCTAAATAATCCACATACTTCTTTTTTCTTGGAGTGTAAGAGTTTATGGCAAAATGTTTTGTCCTATACTGAAGTTCCAGTGTCTCCACTCTTGGCCACTGTGACAGCCTGTAAGATACAAAATATCAATAAAAGGTATAGTACAACATGAAAGGATTCCTTTTTTACATTTCATCCCTGACACACAATAATATTTGTAGTGATAAAATCCTCAAACCAGTAAGCATTTCATCCCTAACACAAAACAAATGATTTACCACAGATAGAAAAATCCAATATAAATATATAGATTGCAAAAATTTCATTCCAAAATTTTCAGAGTTGTTTTGAATAATAGTTGATAAATGTTATTTTATGCATACGTAGCTGTGTGGTGAAATATCATATCTAATATCTAAGTAGAACCCACAAGCAATATGTATTCAAACTGTGTATCATATACTTTTGGGAGATATTGTTTCATTTGCATCAAAGGTAATTATCTATTGACTATCAGCCTATCATCAGCATAACAATACTGAACTATTAAAGGTATAATCATAACCAGATTGCAAAACACCACCACTGATTCTCTGACATTACCTCACTTTAACTTGTTGAAAAAATAAGGAAACCCCTTTTAAACATTAATGAAGTTACAAATAATTACAAAGCACTACAAAGCAATATACTTTATTCTATGCCACAGACAAAAGTTAACTAGTTACCAGCAGAAGTTGTACAAAAAAAAAAAAAAAAAAAAAAAAAAAAAAAAAAAAAAAAAAAAAAAAAAAAGAAGAAAAGAAATGTACCAAAAGATACTCTCCAAAATTTCCCAATGCTATAATATTGTGATTCATATATATATATGAAGGATTATCAAATGTACTGGCATCTGTAAGCTGTTTTTGATTACTTAAAAGTCTGTGTTGAAGACTAACTAGGTTGCTGAATTCCTCCAATCTTAAAAAGAATCAACACAAACATTTATGTAATTTAAACAATTTATAGATGCATTGCACTTATGATCCTACAAACCCAAATCACAAAATTATTATGTAGTTGTCTATTAATTTAGGCGTGAAAAATTAAAATGTTTGAAAAAAGTCTGGCTGCTGTAATCTTCAACAGTGGTGTGAAATAGTTTTGAGGCAAATTCATTTACATATTCTAAGGTTGACATCACACTGACAAGATTGTCCTAAATAATAAAAAGTTAATTTTTGACACCTTGACTTGACTGATTTACAATTAAATAAATAAATAAATAAATAAATTAATTAATTAATTTAAAAAAAAAAAAAACACCAATACCAAACTTAAAACAATCTTTTCACAATGATGTAAACAAAAAACGGGTTTTACAAAACCTGTAGCAGCCCAGACGAATAATTTCTACATTTAAGTCTACTAACATTGGGAACGTTTATGGGTAACAATCAAAAAATCAAAAGGAATGTTTTCATAAAAAAAAAGCACCTATCTCACAGATTTAAATAGCCTTTTGTATATTCAAATTATTTCTCATTTTCAAGTCAAAAAAGCACCTGTCATCAATATTGATTTATCCCTATAAATATCTGACCCTACTCCTTGATGTCCCCATGATGTTAATACTTACCACCCTTTGCTGCAAGCAGAGAGAGGAAAGGATCAATGAACTTTGAGTGGACAACAGTCAGGATATCGAATAGGGGGAACATGTCACTGAATATAATATTCACATGCCTTTCGCAAAATTACATTAAAAGTGAAAAGCATCTGGCTGACCATTAAACATGCCTTTTAATTACAATTTCATTTCAATATTTGGTTTTTCAGTAAGTATAAAGTGGCACAAACTTTGCAGAGTAAAATAAGCATCACTATAAACTTTTTCAGTCCTTAGACTGGAACGTAACTAGTCATACCAGCTCTTGCTCTAACCACATTAAAAGCAACTTTGCTAAAAACTGCAAAAAAAATTTCAAAATGAAAAACAAGCTAAGGAATGGAAAGAATGCGAATTTCATTTTTATTCCCATGTCATTCAAAAAGGGATGCTTTAAGCGCAACACTTTTTTAAGCAAGGAAGGGCTTGATGTATCTAGGGGAAAAAAAGCACTGATCCCAAATTTGTAGTTGGTTAAAAGTCAAAATCTTTATATCTAACACACAAAAAGGTGTTCAGCCTAAATGTATGCCTGGAATTCATTTAAGCGAGGTGTTTTTTCATTTCACTATAGCAAGGGTATATTTTTTACTGTATCAAACCTTGTCTGAAAGTCTAGGACCCTGTGGGGAGACAGAAATGTTGCTCTGGAAGTAGCCATTTCACCATTCAACAAAGGGAACAAATACCATGCAGTTAGGTAAATAAACAGATGTAAGATGCAATGAATTACACTATGAAGCTAAATAAAAAGTTCTGGGATGTTTTCTTGCAGATAAAAATAAAACTTAAAAAAACTTCAAAACAAAAATTTTCTGCAGAAAAATGAAAATAAACCCCCCTAAACCATTAAATGGGCATGATTTCGTAATTTTTACATACCAATCTTGCTGCTAACTGCTTGTTCTTCATAATTTCGCTCTCTAACTGTTTTTCTCTATCTGCCAGTTTGTGTTTAAGCTGAAATAACAACAATAACAATCATATATCAGAAATACTAAATGTTCACATTCTTATAAACTCAAATTATTCAAACATATCCTTAATTGTCTTATAGCACTTTATCAATCTTAATCTTAGCAATATTATGAAGTTGCATCACTGAAGAGCATTTTTAGACCAAATAAACTGGCTTTGGAATGTCAAAAAATCTTTTTATGAAACAAGTAAGATGCACACATAAGGCTTATTTCCACTTACACTAGAGCAGATGTGGAAAACATACATCATGCATAAATACAATGTTATATACAATGCCTTGGTCTTTTGTTTTTTGACATCAGCAATAGTACACATCAGATAACCCACTCATAAACAAAGTATATGTGATGCCCACTTGTGCTTTGCACCCGTGTACATAACATCCACCTCGTTGACTTGTGGTGGATCTTTTACTTAACTCACCTGCTCCACCTCCCCAGCTGATACTCCTGCAGTCCCATTCTGAAACAATTTTAATGTATCCCATATTACAAGAACTTTCCTGGGCCATGTTCACATCAGGAGTTATTTAGACTGAAAATGAATTTGATTACTCCCTTTGACAGATGTAGTCTACTATAAGTTACTGATGACATCAATTAGTCTTTTTTCAGTCAAAGTTAGACCTTATATGAACATGACCATGTATATTTTAATAGCAAGCATGTGTTAACTTTTGTTATAAGACATCAACTCATTATTTAACATAAATATTCAAAATATATGCCTTTTATCTAATGTACACAACTATAAGCCCAGGTTACAGTGGGGTTACATGAAGAAAGTGGCACTACTGGAACAAGACTAAAAGCAATGGTTACAGTAAGCTGGGCACATGCTCGCCATATCTAAATTTTGGCCAAAAAATAACTAAATAAAATAATCAGCCACTAAAAATTCTAAGGCAGAGGAAATTGAAAAAAAAAAAAAATACNCAAGAGATGGGGACAGGGGTCCTTGCGGTCTAGGAGGAGAAGCGGTAACGGTGACTTGTATCCGGCGCCAGTACGCGGAGCCGGCGGAGCCGGCGGAGCCGGACGAGACGGGTCGGGACTAAAACCATGAGTACCGCCAGCGTACACGCTGGTGGTACAAATAACTCAACAAATCAAATAAATTCAACATTATTATCTTTATAGATAATCATAACAAATCACTCTTTGTCACTGGCAAATTGTCCATGTGCCAAAATAAGCCCAGTTACGGCCATACACATAAAAGAGTTTACTACTAAGAAGTCAAGACACTAACCATATTAGATGGGTTTTGTGGGATATCTTTGGGAGGGTCAACTATTTCCCATTCAGACTGAGTCACCGCAAGCACAGTGGAAGTGTCCTAAGAAGCAGAAACTATTACAAGCAACACACAAGCACTTCATTCTAGTTTTTGACCTCATTCAACTCAATTGGATTAATAAATCAGCATTAATAAATATAATTCTGGATTTTCTTGGTCTAATAATTCCCATACACCAATTTCCTACGACCCAAATTCATGTCTTTTCTTGCCCCATCCCTCACACCCATATGCAAGACTACACCATCAATTTCTACAGCCCAAATGTTTTCCAGGTTATACATACTCTCAGTAGAGGTTTATTAGTGGATGGACTCTGCTAAAACACAAGTAAGAGGCATGCTGATAATGCACACAGACAGAAGCATAAATGATGAGAAAAAAAAAGCTCTAGCACTATCTCTAGTCATGCACTACGCAATAAATTGAAGAAAATCATTACAGAGAAGAGCTATTAAACTCACATGCTAGACCTTAATTAATTATATATAAGTGACAAATAGAATAAAATTTTATATAATCTTATATAATAAAATATTATATAATAAAAACAGTTTCTTTAATAAAGTTCACAATTAACCTCTTTCAAATAATTTTCATTATACATCACATGATACCACTTTAAGCATTTGTATGCTGGCTAATTAACTGCAAAGCTATCTTACCTGGGTTTTTTCATTGACTTGCTGTTGTAATTTTTGCACTAATTCTGTCTCCTGTTTCAGAGCATCTTGACCTATTTTCAATTGCCCATTAAGCCTAGCATTGGCAGTGGCTAATTCCTTCTGCTTCTTTTCATTTTCTTGAAGTTTCACTTTAAGCTCTTCTAATTGCTATTAAGCCAAGCATGAGAAGAAAAGATGATAATTCTGTAGATGATAAATGTAACTTGAAATTGAAGATAAATTTCCCTAAAAAGTAAGCTTGCAGCAAGTTTAAAGCAATGAAAGGAAGTCAGGTAAAAAAATTTATTGGAACAGTGTACATAGGTAGTAGCACATAACTTGAACATAACACAGATTTAAAAAAGAAATACATGAATATAACACATGAAAACTATGGTATCACAGGTAGAAAGCAAACTAACCTGCTGTGCTTCTTCAGAAATTGGAATACACTTTTTAACATCACTCAGTTCTTGTTCCAAAGAAGAGACCTTATCCCTGGCCTAAAAAATTGCACACAAATATATATACACAATATAGGTCTACAATATATAAATATAAAAAAAAAACTTTACATACCAAATACTACTCATATCGGACTGATTGCATTTATTAGCGATATAGTAATTTCTGACCCTCATAAAAAGAATTAAAGACTAATATAATGAATTCAAAGTACATGAAGAGGTAAATTAAGTAAAGACACTTGCAATTACTGCCCATCATGTACTGTCCAGAATACCCAAGCTAAAAAATTCACATAATATGCACTCTGTACCTGGTCCAGCTCCTGCTGTAACTTTTGCTTTTCACCGTTTGCACCAGAGAGTTGTGATTCAATCCCAGCCACTTTCTGCTTCCACTTCCCTTCCTCAGACTCCACACTGCCCTGAAGCTTATTCAACATGGCTTCCTGAAAGAGTCATGCACATTATCTTATATATTTTTTCACTGAGAAAACAGCCCAATTATGAGTTACAAAGAAAGGTTTAATTTAGCCTGTAACCTACTAATTATCTGTCTGATCAAAAGAAGAGAGGTGAAAATGTCTGAAAGTGAAACTTGGCTTGAAGAGATGGTTATGGCAATGGCAATAATGTCATCTCAAGATGGGAATTCACAGCTACATCTAAGGGACTAAATGAACCACATCTTTTAAAAAAGCTTAGAATGAACTCCAAAAATACTACTTACTGTTTCGTCTAGCACAGACTTATAATGCTGGACTTGGGACTGCAACTGGTCTTCCCTTTCTTGTGCTTCCTTTAAATCCTGGAATTTTGACCAAATCCTAACATTTTCCATCATGTAACACAAATTACACATTAATTTTTAAAAATCAAGTTACCAATATTTTAATTTTCATTTTACATGTATATTCTTCTTTTGTGAATGTTACACTTAAAAAGATTTTATTTTGAAAAATCACCACTTTGTAAACACTCTCAAAGTCACAACCTAACAAGGCCATCAAATTCCAAATTGTTAAACCAATGACTTCATCTTTACCTTGTTATCACTTGATGAGGATAAGGTACTGAGATACTTTTTTACTTCTGTCTCAAAACTTGACATCCAATCTGAATGTGCCTGAAATAATAAATCAATCCATTTTATTGTCCCTTTTTACATATTTGGCAGCTTTATTTCAAAGTTACAAGAGAGGATAATTGTTTAAAAAATACATCAAAAACCTAAATGGAAAAAAACAGGTTTTGATACCTGTAATGACCAAGGAATTTTATCTACACCACGCTTTGTTTTCCTTACCAGTGACTGGTCAACTTTGACATCGGAGAAAATCCTCTGTAAAAGCTGCCTTAGTTTGGACTGCTCTCCTGAGACCTGAGCAGACAGTTTTTCCTGAAACCAGACAAGAAAAACATAAACCATATAGAAATACTTAAGACCCAAATACAATACAATACAGTACATCCAAATGCTCACTGACATGCTTCTATTAGAAATAGGGATAAAAATCATCTGCACCTGATCAAAAAACAAGGGTCACATAGGGGGGTTAACAGCACTGGCAGGTCATTGGTGGTTTATCAATAATCACACCCTAGCTGTAATAAAGGTTAACACTTTTCTATTGTAAAACATTAATGCATAATGGCAGATATGTGAAACAAAAAATGGTGAAAATCAGACAAAATTGCTTACAGATTCTTTTTTAGCTTGAGCTGCTAGTTTTTCTTGTACACTTTTTTCAGCACTATTCAGTGCCTCCATTGCCTTCCAATTCTTTTCTCTAAGTTCCTGGAAATCCAAGAGCTCTTTTAATAAAACTATGACCACTTTTAAACTAGTGGTTTAAAATACTGAGAATGAAACAATACGTAAAAATCTATCTCCCAAAAATGCATTTCTAGTAAAAAAAGTTTTAAAATGACAATACTCAAAAATTAGACAAAAAAAGTACCAAATTCCTTCAGTCTTCTGTGGTCTACAAAATTATATGCCACATCAAATTCTCAAGTGACCTTTCAATGTTTTCCAAAAATAAATCAATGCCATAAATGAGGGGCATCACAACACTTAAAAATATGCCACTTTAGCTGCCCTTACATTATTTTTCTTCCGCTGAGTTTCTAACTCATCTTTAACTTTCTTAAGTTCAGAGTTGCTACCAACAGTCTCTTCTTGTTTGTTTTGTAGAGCCTGAAAACAATTAATTAGAGGCATTGAATATAACTTATGCTTTGTTATCTCTATTTCCCTATATCTTAGATTTCACATATCTTTATAACAGAAATAGTTTGTGACACTGCATGTCAAAAGGTCAAAAATATTCTTTATCAAACATTGGCATCTTGCCAATCTATATTTTTTCAAAGAATATATAAAGCATATTGCAATTCATCATTAATATAAACAAATAATGCAAGCAGCTACAATACTGAAATTCAAAAGCTGAAAAAGGAAAGCAGAGATCTATACAATGGATTACAAAAAAAGGTAGGAAAAGTAAGCTGAACAGAAGTACATATAAATAATGAAATTTCCATGCAATAGAGGTATACACATGGTAAAAAGCTAGACATTTAGCAAAGTATTACATGTGGAGCATTTGGATGACTGAAAAATATTCAACTTAAAACATGTGACATTACATATGCATTACAATTAATTTAAGAAACAAATGCAAGGGATGGAAATAGTACAAAAAAGGCATAACCTGGGTCAACAATACTGTTAATGAAACAATAATAAATCATATACATATTGAGAAAATATTTGCATTTCTAATTTTCAGTTTTTTTTATCATTTCTCAACCACTTGTGATAAAGAGTAAGCTAAAATTTCAAATTACAAATTAAGTAAAAGCAGACTATCTGAAAATATCAATAACATGTTCATATTACATGCATTTTTAGAACCATGCATTCGGGTACATTGATCTCTAGACTATAGCATGAAGCATAAGAATCCTTCCCTGTTATTTTCTTCATCTTAAAGCAGAAATAATACAGAGGCAGGCAGAATGATATTAGCCCAATTATCTTCACAAATAAATAATAATAAAATAATAATAAATAATAAAATAATAAATAATTATAAACCAGTCAACCTGTCAAATGAATAATGAAATCAAGTAAATACAGGACAACAACAANTAAAAAAATCACAAAAAAAAAAAAAAAAAAAAAAAAAAAAAAAATAATAAAAATTATATATATATATATATATATATATATATATATATATATATATATAAACTTTACATACCAAATACTACTCAGATTTGACTGATTGCACTTATTAGTGACATAGTAATTACTAACCCTAAAAAAAAAAAGAAAGACTAATCTAATGAATTCAACGTACATGAAGAAGTAAATTAAGTATAGACACTTGCAATTACTGTCCATCATGTACTGTCCCGACTCCAGAATACCCAAGCTAAAAAATTCACATAATATGCACTCTGTACCTGGTCCAGCTCCTGCTGTAACTTTTGCTTTTCACCGTTTGCACCAGAGAGTTGTGATTCAATCCCAGCCACTTTCTGCTTCCACTTCCCTTCCTCAGACTCCACACTGCCCTGAAGCTTATTCAACATGGCTTCCTGAAAGAATCATGCACATTATCTTATATATTTTTTCACTGAGAAAACAGCCCAATTATGAGTTACAAAGAAAGGTTTAATTTAGCCTGTAACCTACTAATTATCTGTCTGATCAAAAGAAAAGAGGTGAAAATGTCTGAAAGTGAAACATGGCTTGAAGAGATGGTTATGGCAATGGCAATAATGTCATCTCAAGATGGAAATTCACAGCTACATCTAAGGGACTAAATAAACCACATCTTTTAAAAAAGCTTAGAATGAACTCCAAAAATACTACTTACTGTTTCGTCTAGCACAGACTTATAATGCTGGACTTGGGACTGCAACTGGTCTTCCCTTTCTTGTGCTTCCTTTAAATCCTGGAATTTTGACCAAATCCTAACATTTTCCATCATGTAACACAAATTACAAATTAATTTTTAAAATTCAAGTTACCAATATTTTAATTTTCATTTTACATGTATATTCTTCTTTTGTGAATGTTATACTTAAAAGATTTTTTTTGAAAAATCAACACTTTGTAAACACTCTCAAAATCACAACCTAACAAGGACATCAAATTCCAAATTGTTAAACCAATGACTTCATCTACCTTGTTATCACTTGATGAGGATAAGGTACTGAGATACTTTTTTACTTCTGTCTCAAAACTTGACATCCAATCTGAATGTGCCTGAAATAATAAATCAATCCATTTTATTGTCCCTTTTTACATATTTGGCAGCTTTATTTCAAAGTTACAAGAGAGGATAATCGTTTAAAAAATACATCAAAAACCTAAACGAAAAAAAAAAGGTTTTGATACCTGTAATGACCAAGGAATTTTATCTACACCATGCTTCGTTTTCCTTACCAGTGACTGGTCAACTTTGACATCGGAGAAAATCCTCTGTAAAAGTTGCCTTAGTTTGGACTGCTCTCCTGAGACCTGAGCAGACAGTTTTTCCTGAAACCAGACAAGAAAAACATAAACCATATAGAAATACTTGAGACCCAAATACAATACAATACAATACAATACAATACAATACAATACAGTACATCCAAATGCTCACTGACATGTTTCTATTAGAAATAGGGATAAAAACCATCTGCACCTGATCAAAAAACAAGGGTCACATAGGGGGGTTAACAGCACTGGCAGGTCATTGGTGGTTTATCAATAATCACACCCTAGCTGTAATAAAGGTTAACACTTTTCTATTGTAAAACATTAATGCATAATGGCAGATACGTGAAAAAAAATGGTGAAAATCAGACAAAATTGCTTACAGATTCTTTTTTAGCTTGAGCTGCTAGTTTTTCTTGTACACTTTTTTCAGCACTATTCAGTGCCTCCATTGCCTTCCAATTCTTTTCTCTAAGTTCCTGGAAATCCAAGAGCTCTTTTAATAAAACTATGACCACTTTTAAACTAGTGGTTTAAAACACTGAGAATGAAACAATATGTAAAAATCTATCTCCCAAAAATGCATTTCTAGTAAAAAAAGTTTTAAAATGACAATACAAAAATTAGACAAAAAAAGTACCAAATTCCTTCAATGTCTTCTGTGGTCTACAAAATCATATGCCACATCAAATTCTCAAGTGACCTTTCAATGTTTTCCAAAAATAAATCAATGCCATAAATGAGGGGCATCACAACACTTAAAAATATGCCACTTTAACTGCCCTTACATTATTTTTCTTCCGCTGAGTTTCTAACTCATCTTTAACTTTCTTAAGTTCAGAGTTGCTACCAACAGTCTCTTCTTGTTTGTTTTGTAGAGCCTGAAAACAATTAATTAGATGCATTGAATATAACTTATGCTTTGTTTCCCTATATCTTAGATTTCACATATCTTTATAACAGAAATAGTTGGTGACACTGCATGTCAAAAGGTCAAAAATACTCTATCAAACATTGGCATCTTGCCAATCTATATTTTTTCAAAGAATATATAAAGCATATTGCAATTCACCATTAATATAAACAAAGAATGCAAGCAGCTACAATACTGAAATTCAAAAGCTGAAAAAGGAAAGCAGAGATCTATACAATGGATTACAAAAAAGGTAGGTAAAGTAAGCTGAACAGAAGTACATATAAATAATGAAATTTCCATGCAATAGAGGTATACACATGGTAAAAAGCTAGACATTTAGCAAAGTATTACATGTGGAGCATTTGGATGACTGAAAAATATTCAACTTAAAACATGTGACATTACATATGCATTACAATTAATTTAAGAAAAATGCAAGGGATGGAAATAGTACAAAAAAGGCATTACCTGGGTCAACAAAACTGTTAATGAAACAATAATAAATCATATACATATTGAGAAAATATTTGCATTTCTAATTTTCAGTTTTTTTTTTTGATCATTTCTCAACCACTCGTGATAAAGAGTAAGCTAAAATTTCAAATTACAAATTAAGTCAAAGCAGACTATCTGAAAATATCAATAACATGTTCATATTACATGCATTTTTAGAACCATGCATTCGGGTACATTGATCTCTAGACTATAGCATGAAGCATAAGAATCCTTCCCTGTTATTTTCTTCATCTTAAAGCAGAAATAATACAGAGGCAGGCAGAATGATATTAGCCCAATTATCTTCACAAATAAATAATAATAAAATAATAATAAAATAATAAATAATTATAAACCAGTCAGCCTGTCAAATGAATAATGAAATCAAGTAAATACAGGACAACAACAACAACATGTAATCTTGTCAAGACAACATAAAGACATTTGCCCAGGTAAAAGCTGGGGCTCATACTGCAACGTGAGTGAGCTTACTAAAATGGTGACCAGTTGTGATCCCAAAGTGCTGGTTAGTTCATTGATTTGAGCTGCCTTTCTATCTAACTCCGACTGAAGTAGGAAGATTTGCTCAGAAAGCTCCTAGAGGCAATCAGAAAGAGAGAGAAAAAGAGAAAATGTGATATGCTAGAAGCAGAGTGCAGCCATTATTATCCAAGTTATCCAAATGGTGAGTGGTGTTATTATCTCTTTGAGAACATCAATGATGTTTTTTAATAATATTTCATCGAATAACTTGTAAGACGAAAACAAATACTGGACTGATACTGAAACACCGATGTTAAGGAAAATAGCAATTCAACAGAATTCCACATGCAAAGCTCTGAAAGAACCCATTTGTTACCAAAAGCTGTTTGTGTATATATATTTTAGAACTAACTCCATGTGTGCTTACACTGTTGACCTGTCTTTGCTTTTCCATTTCAACCTTGACTTGACCAACTTCCACTATATTGACATGTAACTCTGATGTGACTTTATGCACATCAACCGGGATACTTTCATAGTAATACCCAGTAAGTTTTGGTTGTTGCAAACGAAGCTCCTGCAGGGAAAAAAGGGAGGGTTAGTTAGCAGTGTTCTGGCTTGTCAAGCAGCATGTGGTAGTCTGGTTAGGTCACCCCATGTCCCATTACCTAATATATATTAATTATCATATGTCTAACACATCCATCAAAGCTAATAGCAAAGCACACATGGCCATATGTACCCTTACATTATCTTGTGCTTTTTTATATAAAAAAGTCTTTTGTGTAATAGGGAATGTGACACTTTTTGTTTGTGTAAAAGACAGTAAAGGAAATTCCCTCAAACTATGGTCTTGTAGGGATGAGAACGGCTATCAGGATTTTGCCACAACCAACATATAGTCAATATGTGTATAGGAAACATAGGTAATAGGTAAACCCTGATGTTATTGTCATGTAAGAAATTGGATAGCTGAAGCCAATGATACTTGATACCTGATAAAGTATCAGTGTAACACCAGACATTACTTGACCACCAATCAGAGAAAAGGTAACAAAATAATAACCAATCTTTAGCCACCTTGTAGATAGATAACTGATATTCAATACATGTTTACTTATGGGTTGAAAAGTAACAAGGTTTTCATGATTTGAATATGATATGATATGAAGGGCATGGGAGTGGAAAGCGTCCAGGCACCAACTAAATTTTCACTAAGAGCCTTGCAACCTACAGTGTAAATAAATGCTACTAAGTGATTTCTTACATCATTCTGTTGTTTAAGCTCTGCTACAACTGATCTGAGGTCTTTGCATTCTGCCTCAAGCTCCTGTGAATATTAAAGTTATTCATTCAACTTTTTTGTAAAAGATGTGAATGTCACTAATAAAAGAATCAATTACATCATAACCATCTGTATTATTTTTTACATGTCATTGATTCATAAGAAATTATTCCGTTCATAAAAAATATTGAAGAGATGTAAGCAATACATCAAGACCTTGAAATATTTAATACTATAGATGTGTACTTATGCATATTTAAAATGCATATTAAAAAAAACCTTCCCTAAAGTTATCTTACATTGAACTCTTTATCAGCATCTGCCAATTGTTTGCGCAGCGTAGTCACTGCATAAGTAGCATTATCCAGTTTTGCCTCAAGTACGAAGACTTCCTGATTGGTTGCAGACTCCCCAGATAACATCTTCCTGGCTTTCACAATAACTTCCTATATCACAGTACAGACATCGTAAATATACTCTTCAAACAGATCATCAATCTGACTCTACAAGCTGCCTCTAGTCTACTAAGCTGCGTTTCTTATTTTCACTTCCTTATTTTCATATTGAAAATAAGAAAATAACAGAAAACACTTAAGAAAACAAAGTTCCAAGCCTTTTCCCAATTCACCCAAAGCTGCATACAAGCATTATATAGTAATATGCATATATAGATATTATTAAAACAGGGGCATGACTAGTTATGCACTTTCTTTGATCTAAAAGGAAACCCAAACTATAAACCAGCATATTTCTTACAGAAAGAAATGCCAAATTGGTAAAAGAGATACCTCAAGCAAAAGTAGGAGATTGAAATTATGTCACATCAGTCACTTTTCTATATTATGACTTGTTCAGTTCAGTTCATCTCCATCAACCCAGCATGCAGTACAATTTTGATGTGGAATCAGTTAACTTAAAAACTGACTAACTCTAGCATCTACACCCAAATCAACATGCACTGATTTGTCCTTTTTTTTTTTTTTGACATATCACATATCCATTATATTTAAGTGTAGTAAGGGTAAAAAGAAATCACTCAATCTCAAACATTTTTCATCATTAAGGCAAAGTTACATTGAGAATTCACAATTTCAAAATTCATAAAAAAAAAACAATGTCAATGCTGTATATGTTCTGTTAACAACATGGAACGTGTTGGGCATCAGGGATGGTATAATTGGAATTTACACAGAAACCAGCAGAAAAGCTAACACGGCAAATTCTGCATTACTCCTGATTTTTCATAAACATCAAATGTTTCTACACCCTTTTTGGTGGATTGAGAATATAAAGGGTAAGGGGGTCAATTTTTTAATATACAGACCAAAATAGTAAATTACATTCTAATCAGTGATCTGAGGATGATATAAGAGTGATCCCAATGTAACACTTATAATAAGTATCCTACTTAAAATATGAACAGGCCCTGTGATAAATATATATATAAAAAAAAGACATTCCCAAGCAGAAATTATCAACCATAATGAGCTGAGCTTACTTCATTTGCTTTTTTCAAGGCTTCTACTTCTTCTGTCAGTCTTGAGATTTCAGCATCCTTGCTGGTGGTGTCAGGGGGAGACTGAGCCTGCTGTAAAGCCTAAGGCATATCACAGAAACATGGGTGTAAAGCAAAATTACAAAAGGAAAATCATCAATCTCAAATGTAATCAGTAAGTTTGGCCAATGCCTATACGAGTCGTATTTAGATTTTAGCTTACTTAAAGCCAGTATCAATAAAAAGAACTAAACATATCAAAATTCAATACATAATTTTGAAATGCATCTATTACGTCTTTGTCACTGTAGAAATGTTTGACAGAGTAATTGGAAATGACAGATAGACATCCATCTTTGTAACACTTCAGACAGAATGAGACATATGAAGCTGGTATGATACATTTAATGCAGTGTATCCAGCATCAACTCAATCAAGCATACAATTTCATATATACAGATTTGCTCCCCATGACCAGGTACTGGAAAGAACAATAAGAAAAGATACCAAAGGCCACCATGCAGGAAGTTTAACTTTGGGGACAATATTTACCTATTCTAGAAGAAATTAATCCCACAACCACATTGTTACACAGGATTTCTACAGCACCAGAGTGTGTTATTATCCCAGTCCTTCCATTAAGCAAGTAAAGTCAGTGTCTTAATATTCAAGTTTCCATGCTCGTGTCTAAACATCATGCAAAAGCAGTTTGTAAACAGAGATGAATTTTTTCAAGGCAGTGTGACTTTTCTCCACCCTCTCGTATTACAACAGTTAGTCATGCTATCAATAAACAACTTAACAACTGATCTTCCATTTAGCCCCAGTATCATGCTATTTTCCTTGTATTGTTTTATCATAAAACATGCAACGAAGCCCACAATTAACTTGCCCTAAATATCCACAATTAATATCTTTAACCATGCAGTTGGTGCTTATTTCTGACAGAGATACTGATGATTGAGAAAAAGCCCATTCCTAATATAGTCACCCATGCTTTGGTGTTAAGTAAACCTACATGCAGTTAATACATATGCATAACCACCAGGCCCTGGAATCATGCAACCATGTTAGTTTGTTGAAGACATATAAAGTGAATATAGTTGTCCTGTAACATGCTTATTAAAAGAAACCCTTCTTACATCATTGGCTTGTTTCTGTTTTTCTAATTCTTCAGTCAGCCTGTTCAGTTCTGCTTGTATCACCATGGAGCGAAGATCTGCCTTCTCTTCCACAGACTCCTCTGCTTTGGTAAGGCTTTCACTTAACTGAGCATTCTCTGCTACTAATTCCTGCCAAATGAGGTTAATATTGGAAATAAGATTTCAGCAAATACCAAAAAAGAATAATGAAAACAAATAATATTAAAAAAGTAAAAAACAACTAACAATCTTACATCAGCATCTTCAAAACTAAAAGAAATATTTTTGAATGCATCATGACTACACTACTGTGCACATAACTCCTGCTGAAAAAATCATGCTATTCCATACATGTTGTATATCTGAAAAAGTAAGATGCTTAACCAGTTAAAAAAAAGGTAACTCTGACAAAAGTTTTTTCATAAAATTATTGCAACACCCCCCCTCCTCTTCCAACAGCTGCCTCCCCAGACAACTGATTTTCTAGAAAATTATCTACTGAATGGTATGTTCAGCTTACGTCCTGGTCTTTCTTCAGTGTGACTATCTCTTGTTTTAACCTCTCCATTTCTTCCACTTTGCTGGTAAGATTGTTCTCATTCACCTTTGCCTCTTGCAGAGAACTTTCTGCTTTACTTAGGGCATCTTCTGCTCTCGTCTTCTCATTTTGAAGATCCTTAAGCAATATAGATTTCCCATAAAAAGTTTTTCCAGCTGAATGAATTTAGTTTTATTCATTTGCCTAAATTCTTTTTAATATGTAAGCTCACAATGGTAAAAGTGTTTTTTTTTTAATTTCATAACTGCATTACTGGAATTCTCATTTTCTTTAGACAAATGGCAAGCTTGCTCATTTTCTATCCTTCAAAGCACTTAGCAAACAAGAAGCCTGAGGACAAAAGTAAGTTCCCAATTGCAGGTATAACACTATCTTGCATGTCACAGGGTAGGCTTCCTCTATCTATAAGCATAATTAATTGAATTTTCACTCTTCTCAATATGTGACTGCTATCCAAGCTGATAAAAACAGAAAACACAAGATGCATTATGAACAGCATTCCTGCAGACAAAAATAGCATGAAGTGTTGCACCACGGAAGCCTTAACTGGCTGTCCTGAGAGTTTACATAAGCTTCCTAATAATCATATATGATATGCAGTTAAATCCTTCATGTGGGTACTGAACTATGTTTCATGCACTGACATTGATTAAATGTAAATAGATTAAATATACAAAACATCAAATGCAGACTCAACAGTTTTCTTGAAATGTCATTACATTTATAAGTGCATCCCAAAAGACCTGTTAAAACATAAGCAAGCCAGGCAAGATGATGTATCAAAGTCTGTATTTCCATCACCAAGCATACTGTTACAACAGACAGAGGGTTCAGAGAAACTGGCAGCCAGGATCTGGAATAATTTTAAAATGTGCAGCAGTTCACACAGGACACTGAAAGTCTGGAGAAAGCAATAGTTGAACGACATCTAAAAAGGCACTCTATGCTGGTAAAAGTGATACATTCAAGATAGCTTATTAAGCCTAATAAGACAGCAATGAACGGTTAGGCGTAAGGCTGAAAGTTACAATGCTTCAAAACCTGGAAGAACAAATTAGCATTATGAGCAGAATAATGACTAGTGCACAACAGGCAGATAGCAGTGTGATTAAATACAGCAGCCTGAAGCCCTGGAAGTACGGCTCAGACTCACTTCATTAGACTTCCTTAAGGTTTCAACCTCTTGCTTTAACTGGACCATTTCGTTGTCCTTGCCCTCCAGTTCTGCCAGGAGAACCTGGAGCTTTTCAAGAGCTTGCTGCACATTCAGTAGGTCTTCTGCTGCCTTCTGCTTTTCTATCAAAAGTTCCTATCCATGAAGATAAAAAATCTTTACCTAATTTCTGGGCAATTTCCTCATTATTAGGCATATATAACCCAACTATGCCATTTTCTAAGCTAGGCTACATTTTCAAAAAGACCTGCAGTCACAGAACTAAAATATTCTTCAGAGGGAAATGACATATACTTTAAAAAATCTAGATGTCTGCTTACATCATATGCTTTCTTCTGCTTGTCCAATTCTTCTTGCAGAGTTTTGACCTGTGCACTATTGGCATTTGTCTCGCACTGTGAGGACTGCAGTGTCGCCACCTGTTGTTCTGCATTGGTCAACAAGGCAGCGAGTTTCTGACGCTCACTCTCCAAATTCTATCCAGATGAAATTTAGCAATCAATAACAACAGTAAAAGACTTTGCATTTATTCTTACTTCTGAATTATTACATAATTTAATATATAATATATGAGTAAAATACTCTTAGGTAATCTTCATTGAGTTAATTTAAAAGAAAATGCACCGGCATGCTTATTCCTTAAGAAAAAACTCAATATAATCTTCACTGTTAGCAAGCTATTGCTTCAGAAAGGGGTAAGGCCTATAAACATTTATTGGGTTAAATGAGGATCTGGGTAACATCAAGAAATAAGCAGAATAAGCTTTGGCCAAGAATATCACAAACAATATGCTTATTAATGTTTTCTCTTTCATAATTTAAGACACATATTTTCACTGACAGTGACAGCTGCATCAAAAGCATATACACTAACACAATTATGCATAGCACAGCTCAAAATTGACGGCTCACAGACATCAGGTGAGTCTGGAAAGAACATGCATGTCTCTGGAGTGTGATACAGGTAATTGGGTCTGGAACTTATGACTATATGGAGCAGTTTGCATGCCAGGGTTTGACTATGCTTACAAGCAGTTAAGGGAATGTAATCTCAACTTACAATACTCAACTCAATTGAGAGGGTAATCAGGAAAGGAGGAAGGAATGAGAAAATTACACAGTATGCATTAATGGTTTAATGGCATATGCAATTATGCATTTTGTCATGCTATAAACCATCTTTCTAAAGACAGCAGCACCTGAAACAAAGAAAGCAGAATAACATGCGTGTTAGTATCTTAGCAGCAAAAGCTTGTCTGCAACAAAAAGCTGACATACATTATAAGCAGTTTTCTGTTGTTCGAGTTCTGACGAAACTTGCTGCAGTTCTACTAGCTTGGCATTCAGTTCACCCTGTAACCCGCTCATCTCGGACACCGACTGCTGTGTCTTAGACAGTCTCTCTGCCAGATCCTGCTTTTCAGCTTCAACTTCCTGTAAATGACAGTCAAACCGCCACCATCAGATTTTTCAAAACAACAATTAAGTTCCTGGTATGGAATGAAATACACACAAAATAAGATCATCAAATAATTACTCAAAACAAATCACTCTAAATAAGTAATAATTGCACTCTAAACTGGTAGTAATTGCCCAAATCACCCCCCCCCCCCATAAAAAAAAGGTAGAATAAGAAACTTTAATTATGAATCAATAAAAAAAATTCAATTAAACATCGATATCTATTTTCACCTAATTAATTATAGACATATACTTTCCACTCTGTACAACTAAGGCACTTAACTGGCATAATCACTGCCATATGAAGTTTATATTCTAATCAATTTTACAGCTGCAATATACTCACATTATTTTTTGCCTTCTGCTTCTCCAGTTCTGCTGTTAAGTTCTTCAATTCTGAAGCTTGTTTTTCTATCTGTGATGTCAGATTGCTAACTTCTTCATTCTTCTTGGTTAAAAGACTTTCGCTTCCAGTTTTAGTCTGCAGCTGACTTTGCAACTTTGCTGCTTCGCTTTCTGCCCCTTGGGTCCTAGCTTTGGCAGCATCCAATTCTTGCATGGCATTCTTGCAACGTGACTCAGATTTCTGAAGTTCTTCAGCCATCTCTGTTAGTCTCTTGTTAAAGGCAGCATCACCTTCAGCCTATAAAAAAAAAACACACATTTTAAAAGGAAGAAATGATTTATCATGACAGCAAGCGGGATAACTTCAAGCAATTTTTAACCATTTCTGCCTCAATTGGATTTTGGTCTTCGATGCCAAGAAAAATATAATGCTCATCTCAATAAAAAAAATCATGCCACTGAGAAAAAAAAAATTAAAAAGCTATATACACTAAATGAATTTCAATACCTTATACCACTCATGAAAAACTCACTCACTTTCTTAGATTCCATGAACTTAATACGATCTTCATACTGTTTCAGTTTAGATTCTGCATTTAGTTTTCCATTTTCTGCTGCTGTCAATTTGCGGGCATTGTTTGCCATTTCGTTCTGGATGATCTGCAGCTGGGACTGCAAATTGTGAACCTCGGGGGCCGCTGCAATCCTGCCCCTGGAAGAAACAAATATCAAAATATCTGTCCTTACATGGGTTTTGTATAGCTCAAAATCAATTTCTAATATTAACACCTTAAAGATGACATCTATTCCAAGTGGGCATTTTTACAATAAAAGTGATCAATTAATTCTCCATGCCTTCCTCTAACTTAACTGAATATTTTTGTAAATCTGCACTTAACTGAACAAAAAAGGAGGCATATTGCATAAATGGTCTTAAATGAAAAATAAAACATTCTAAAAATTTCAGCTTCTTCAAGAATTAGGAAGTACATACTGTGCCAATGCTTCTTTTAGTTGACGGTTTTCCTAAAATAATAATAAGAAATATATATTCATATCATATACTAGTAACTACATTTTCGAGCATCAAAAAATGTAAAACCTTTTAGAGTATTATAATACAGAAATCTGGAGTTAAATTGTTATCTATGCTTCATTAAAGTTCTATGACATTACAAGAGAATGCATCTTTCTCTTTCCTTTCATTCTATTAAAAAAAAAGAGTTTTAAAAAGAAATAAACTTTTTATAAAAAATGTACCTGCAGTAAAACCTGGTGATCTTGAGGGTCTTTTCTCTGCAACTGGTTCTTGAGTGCTGCCACTTCCATCATGTGTTGCTCATGCGACTGCTGCATGCGCGCGTGCAATGCATCCATCTCCTGCTGCTTCAAGGTCAAACTCTCGGACATCCTTTTCTCGTACTTGGTAAAATTCTGCTTCTCCTGAGACAGCTCTTGGCGCAGTTCCTTCACCTTCTTGTTAGCAGCCATAGCCAGCTGTTGTTCTAGAAAATTTCATATGGTGTTGAAGTTTCAATAAATAGATTTTAATTCTTAATAACTTAGCTTAAATAATCAAGAAATGAAATCTATCAAACATCATATCAGAAATCTCAATAGGTTTGGTAATTTTCTGGCAGCTGGAAGTTTATGTTTTTAATATTCTTATTGCATTCTCCATTTATAAATTAAAGCATACAGACAAAAATTAAAATGAATTAATTCAAGGGCTAAAGAAATGCTGGTACCTTCTTGCAGGGTCTTTTCTTTCTCTTCAAGCTGTTTCTTCAAAAGTGAGACAGGATCTCCCTTCTGTAAAAAAACAATCAACACATTTCTGAAAAGATTCACTTTGTTTTATCAACATTAAACCTGCAACCATCTTTTAACTTGATAAGGAAATTCTTCAGCCAACATTAATAACCAATTGACATTAATAACCTTGATATCAAATAAAGTACAGAACATTACTATTACTATGCACATATCAGACACTGATCAAAATCCACAGAATTACACAATAGTCTCTGTACCTTGGTCCACTGTTCATTGCCCTGCTGTCTGTTAAGAAGGACATCAATCAGAGCCTGGATCTCAACATCAGTCAGCAAAGCCTTCTTCACTGCAGCTAATAACTTCTCCCCACTGAGCATCAAACCATCTAAAACGACATCAACAGAGATGATTCTCTTGTGATATTTAAGACCACTATTAATGCCCTGGAATAAAAATTTCGCAAATGGCTAGAGATACTTACTAAAAAAACTATAAATCCAAAACTGATATTGTAATGCCTGTGGCCAGTATGAGATAAAATAGAAACAATGAGTGCAGGAACAGATCTCATACTAAAAAAAAATATATATTCATTTTTTTTGAGAGGGGAGGGGGGGGCAGAGGATGTCAAGACTTATTGAACCTGTGTGATCTATTACATTTTGGAGCTCTTAATGGAGTAAGTGCTTATACAGCCATCCAAGTTCATACAGAAATTGCACTGTATATCTTATCAGTACGTATCATACTTCTTGCTACTTAAAACACCTATTTAGGAAATTATATTTATCATGTAATTATCATCTCATGTAAAAGACAGGATAAGAAAAAATACCTAAGTTAAATTGGAACAATATAATTAGAGTATTATATTCATAACTTCTCCCCAAAAATGTTTTGTTCATAATGCTTAAAAATGTTGATTCTCGAGTTTTGAAAGCAGTTCGCTTCATGTCAGAAAGTTTAATCTGTTGGGCACCTAAAATTATAAATCTTGAAAAAGTGAGGTGTTTGAGAATGTTTAGTAATTACCGTAAAAGCTTGTGATAGTGCTGCAATTATCATTGGAGTCAAGGACCAATATAAGTCTTAAGGCAAGGTGATCCTTGTTATCAGACAGCTTAGCAAGACCATGGTCTTATCAGTTCTACCAGAAATAATTTCAGACCAGGTAAATGCTTCATGTAAACCCCAACATTGCATAGCAAGGATCACCATCAATCAACATCTTTCTATAATTTTTAAGTTTCTAATAATCTTTTTTAACTGTCTTAACTTTAGATGCCAATGTTAGGACATAGTACACAACACATGCCACGAATATTTTTGAATCTATTTACTTAAGACATTACTGATAGTCTAGTACCAATTATCAAAAATAAACTCAAAGAAGATATTTTGGTTGTACCGAGGTGGTTGGTATCACTTGTTTTCATTTAATCATTTTTATTGTTATTTTAGTTTATAGTTGTATTCATCAGGAAATGTATATAAAGCACCTTGAGAGGACATCTAATTTGAAGAGCTGGCAAGTTGTTAAGTATGCTGTGAGTAAGCCATTAGCAAATAATTCAATACTGCTTATTATGGAAACGGCTTAATGATCAAAACTGGGTACTTGTGTGATGTACAATTCTTACTGTGTATTCATAGCACATCATACTGATTTTGACATATCATATGGACCATAATGAAAAAATCTTCACATCTGTTTATATCCATTACTTATACTGCACATTCAACCTCACATGAATATTCATTACTTCCTTTCTTCTCAATGCTGATTGATATCACTGTAATGAATGCTGATAACACTTATGATTAACATGCCTTTATATATTGTTCTTGTATGATATCATTCTCTGCATACTTAGCTGATTAACATAAATTTTCTTTTTAACATTAAGGCCTTGCTACAAGTGACTTGTCTGAAAGACGAGACTGTTATTTCCTAATGAATAACATATGGTTTCTTTTTCCCACCAATTTATGAGTCAGAATAATCAATAAGTGATTGTGTTCAGTTAGGCTATGCATGTGGAAAGTCATGATTTCTGTATGCAAACACTTAATTTAGATTAGTACTGAGCCATCCTTAAGTAATTCCCCCAATCTATTTCACCATCTACTTTCATTTTCGCATAGCTAATCAAAAGAGAAATGTAACTGTAACTTTATATCATCATAATGCTTCTTAACTGTGTTGGTACAAATACAAGAGACAAAAAGTAATATAGAGGGCAAAAGACCATAAAGAGGAGGAAAATATTGTAGAATGGCCCCAGATGTAGCATATCACAAGCAACCACTAATAGGTTGTTGAAGTCCTAAAATAGCTTCTCAACTGTCAGGAATCTCACAGCATTCCATCACAATCACACCCCCCCCCCCCCCCCACCACCATCATTTTTAATCTGATTTAAGTTATAACTAAACAAAATCAAAGGATGCTTTTGACTTTTGAACTTTTTTTGATTTCAAGAAAAAATTCTCATACCCTAGATTAGTTATTCATACAACATTACTTCCACATATAAATAGGACAGAAATTTCATAATATTTCACTGGCTTATGGTAATTAAATTACATTGAAATTAATTACAATGGATAAAGCACAAGGATAAACTGGTGTTTAGATTGTCTTATGATTAGAAAAAATTAATGAGTTCATGTGTATAGAGAAACGACTGAACCTTGGATGCTTCTAAAGACAATGATTTAACTGCAGAATGAAATTGCTCTCACCTCCATCTCCTTTGCTCTTCTTATTCTTCTTCCCTTCAGTTACAGGTGGTTCTGATGCAGTTGTTAAGGCAACCTCTTGTACCATAACCTCACTCACTTCTTTCTTAACTTCTCTCTTTTCTTTGGTTTTGGTCTCAAAGTGAGCATGCTCATGCATCAGCTCCACCTCATCCTTGGGTAGCTTATCTGGGTGGAACAATTCAGGTGCACCCTCCTCACTTATGCTACGGCGAGGCTTCTCATTCTTGTTGACCAAAATGGACTTGGGTTTTTTCCCTTTGCGTGGGGTTGGTGGTTTGGGGTGCTCCTCTGAGGTGTCAATTATCTCGGGCTCCAGTTCATACTCAACCATTTTAGCATGATTTTCAATACTAGTTGTGGCTGTGACAGCTTCAACAACTGGAGACTCCTTTTCTTTTTCTCCACCTTTTCCCTTTCCTTTCTTATACTTCCCCTTCTTTTCTTTCTTCTCCAACTTTTGTTTCTGCTGCACCTCTTCATTTAAACGCCTCTGCTCAGCAATCACCTCTTCATAGGACTTTTCACGAATGGCAACACAAGAAATGAAATAGGCAACAATGAAGGTGATGATGAACAGGGCAGCCCCTATCAGCATAGTCTGCGAGTCCATTTGAATTAGGTTTTCTCCAGCCATAATTCAGGTGGTGAGAGACAAATTGGACAGCAATGAACACAAAATAACTCTTGGGTAGCGATTTACCCCCTTAAAGCTTGAACTAGCCTTGGCGTATTTGATCTGAAAGACAAATTACAAAGCAACTGATCTTGTGTTGAAATTCAAAACAAATATATTGTCTCTCAATTCTAAAAAAATAACCCGATACAACTCAGTATCGCTTTGTATATTCCTTAAATCTTACTAAAAGGCCAAGGTAATATCTTCTTATTGCTCAAANAGGTAATATCTCCTGACTGGTCACATTCTGACTTTACGTGTGCTGTATTTCACTCTGAGCACTTTACATTAAAATCCTACACCTTAGCCATAAATTTCAGAACTGAAACCGCATGATATTATTAGTTGATACGAAACGTCTGATAATGATGCATACCGAGTATTGCAAAATAACACTCAATTTTGCAATATTCGTATAAAAATCGAAGAAACTCGATTATTAAAGCACAAGTACATATCCCGTGTATAGATGAAAGTTTTGCGAACGCTGGCTTGTCCCCAAATGACACTTTCTGCTCTACATGATACCAAGGATATATAAATTTGTCCACGTTGACACGTACAGTGGGTGGTAAACAATTTTCTCTGTGCGTTCATTTGTGCAATGACGCCAACAAACAATTAGTTCTGCATACTTCAATTTTAACAAACCTTCAATTGGCCCTTTCTTTATAAATATCCCAAAGCTCTTCACATTAAAACTTTGATGATATTTCTATTTCGGGACGTTCACTGCCACCTTGCTTCCGATTATATCCAATGGCCGGCTCACGCCTTCCTCTAAATGTTACATTGAGTTTGATTGGTTATTCGTAATTACTGCTGTTGAATCATTTGCTATTTACCCCTGCCACGTAGACTAATCAATATTTACTTTTACACGATAAAATATACGGAATATTCACTACATAGGGAATAAAAATATCTACATAGCTTTCTGTATTTTTGTACAATTAATAAAAAACAGTGACGGTGGTTCGATATTTGATTTTGAATGACTTAATTGGAGACGAGGCGACTAGAATAGGGATGAAAGACAGAGGGTCTACCATTTAAAGCGAGGCTTCCCGGAAGCCACACGTGCGTACTCGGAACAAAGAGTCAAAAACAACCGGCGTGAGTTTCACCTGTCAAGTTGCAGACCACTGTAATTCTCCGAAATGGCACAAACGAAAAGACCGATCTCTGATGCCAGTGATATCCTGGAAAATGTGAAAGTATTGCTACTCGACGTAGAAGGCACTACATCTCCAATTTCGTTCATGAAGGTAAGTTTTCTGCGTTTTTCAGTTTTCTCAGCATGCCAAAAGCCCGCAAAATTTGAATTCCAGACAAAGGGCTTTGTCCACCGGTATCATATCAGTGTCGGTATAACTGACATATTCTGTTTTAAATGTTAGAATTAAGAATTGTTATGTTTTGCGCTAATGAAGTAACGGTTCTGATTACTTAATCTGTCGATTATTAAATATTTGATTCACCGTGCAGCTGGGCTTCCATGAGATTATTGTCATGTGATATGCGCATAAAATTAATAGTTCCAGGAAGAATTCTCTCTAGGTTTCGAAATAAAACGTGCAAAAAGTAAATGTTTTCAGCAATTTACTTGACGGCTAATGGGATTTCTCATTTTAGTTAATTAGATAATTAAATTGGTGATATTTCTGCATATTTAATTTAATATGGCAAATCAGATATCAGAGTAAATCAATTAAATTAAAATAATTTAGAACTGCAGAATTTTAATTTTGAAATTATTTTCTAGAAACATAATTGATATGGCAGTTAAGTGTTTGATTGTTGTAATAGGTGAAGTCACAGGACAGTCAAAAGTGAGGGCCTAAGATGATGTTTATTGGATATGAATTAGAACTACTAGTATAGCGTTTATGATATTTTTGTTAATATGAATACAAGAGAAATCCCATCTTAGAAATAAAACTTAAATGTGTATAGAAATTGCCAAACTTACCAGTCTAATCCTTCATTGTTAGGGGAGTTGATTTTGGTATGTTTTATTTGCGGCAAATGTTTAAAAAGGTTCTTTTTTGTATGTTTCTATAGTACTTACATCATTTTTATGTACAGTGAAATAAAAGAGAACTGCATTATTGTTGCCATAATTTGCTGGCATTATACAATGCTAATCACTGAAGAGTTGTAAAATATGACAAGACTGACATTAATTACTTGGGACCATGTTTTTTACTTGCGCAGTTAAAAACAAATTGTTACAAAATGTCTGTAAATCAACAGTTACTTTAAACATGAATGATTTTTAATTTCAGAATGAAGTCAATCAATATGTAACTGAAAATATACAAGAATATTTGACTAAGAATTGGGAATCTGAGGAGCTTCAGAATGTCATTACTTCACTAAGAGAACAGGTAAGGTGAATTTTGAGGTTGTTTTACATATAGAGACAAGAAATTGAGGGAGGGGGGGCTTGCACTTAAAGTTCAAATTTTTTCTAGAATATTATGCTCATTAATTATTTTGACAGGCATAGCAGGTGTTTGTAACTCTTTCAGAAAGAAAGGAAGATGGGTGTCTTTTTAATAGGGTAAAATAAACTTGGTTTTGATGTTATGGCCAAAAAGGTGGTATCATATTTCATTTAAGTGCCCTTATTTGTCAAAGAAAATAAAAAAGGTAGTAAAAAATGCATCTCAGTGTGCCTTTCAATTAACTGAAGCTTTTACTATGATACCCTGAAAGGAATCCAAGGTTGTGTGCATATTATTTATATTCAAAAGTAAAATTAATTTTTTGTAGTCTTTAGCAACATTTTAGTTATCGACTATCACCCTTTTGACCTGCAAAGGCCATAATAGTGGCTTTTGTTTCTAAACATTTATTTTGCCTCTGAGATCTAAGTTTGCTTAATTAAATTCGTCTGTTATTTTCTTTAGCCATGGTAAATAGCCTGTAGCCTTTCTTGAAAAACCTCATATGCGAGTATGAGCATACTTTGAAAATATCTTAATTCATTCAACAGGTAATTGCAGTAAAAATGGCCATTGGAATATTTTTGATAGGAGACCCTCTTCCTTGTAAAGGTCATGTGATTAGTGCTTTATGTTTCCATGACTAGACAACTATGATACATCATTATCATCATCATTCAAAGCCCTTAAGTGTTCCTCTGTTGGACAAAGGCCTCAGCATGCTTCTTCCAGTGTATTCTGTCTTGGCCTCACTCTTGTCTTTCAGTTCAGTTCAGATACATAGCTTAGATATATGAAGAGATGAAATGTTCTAGATTTATACAGTAATTGTTGTTTATATGCCCTCTGGTCTCGCCATAAAGAGCTGCTCATTTTTTTTTTCCACTTTGCAGTTTTTTTAAAGGTCAACATTCTTTTCTGGATATGTGAAAATCAAGTAGAATAATTATGCTTCATTTTATCATGGTTGTTTTGAAATATTCAGGCGCAACAAGATAAAGAAGCTGGCACTGAAGGGGTGGTTGAAGTCAAGGCTGCTGATGATCCCCAGGAGGAGGTGATTGCTAGCATTACAGAGAACCTAAAATGGCAGATGAGCCAGGAGAAGGCAACAACAGCAGCCTGTCAGCTTCAGTCCCAGATTTTGAGGGAGGCATTTAAAATGGAGAAGATGAAAGGAAAGTAAGTACTTAAAGGACAGTCCCAGTTGCTTTCAGAAGTGATAAAGCTTTTCAGATTGCAGAATGAAGTCCATTTACATGGTGATTATTTCAGGTACAAATTTTTCTACACATAAAAACTGGTTGTTTCTTGAACCAAATGTTTTTCCAGTTGAATTTTATATCAGTAGTGATACAGAATGTTGTGAAGATATTTTTCCTAGAATCCCATGTATTCAGTCCTCCGTTTTGTTTCATTTAGATTGTTTGATGATGTGGTGCCTGCCCTAAAAGAGGTTGCCACTGACAGCAGACAGGTGTATCTGTTCTCCACTACCAGCATGGATGTACAGAAATTACTCTTCACATACTCTGCACAAGGAGATAACTCAAAGGTAGACATATAATTGCTCTATTAAGCCACAGCCCTCCGTGCATCTGGTATATTATCATGGTTATTCTAGCATATTATTTATCTAACCAAATAATTGTTTTATCACCACATCAGTGATCAACTTGAATAAAAACCGTCTCACATTTCTCATTTCCTTTACCCAAAGTTGAACATCTGGTGAACTTAGACCTTAAAGACCCTCTTTTACACACAAAACGTTGTTTAATATTTTGGGGAAGATTTGTGCTACCATTAAAACATGGCTGTGTTTTTAAATTGAATAATATGTTGGGGACTATGAAGTCCTGTATTTTAATTGATACTAGAAAGCAGATAGGCAATAATTGAGTTGATATCTAGCTTAGAAATAGAAATTTCATTTGACTCCACTCAAGATGACGCTGTTCCTATGCCAATATACTTATTCACAGTGTAGTTGCTATGGCAACTAATAAGATGATATTTAGGAATATATTGATATTAGAACAGAGGCAGTTTTTGTCCTTCTGTCCACTGTCTGTAATTACTGTCTGTTATAATTAAACTAACGCACAGCAAAAAGATTATTGGGAAAATGCTAAAAGGTGTTCCACTTGGCCAGGTGATGGAAATGTTGTCTCTGGTGTACATTATATTATTTCATAAAAGTAACTACTAGCCTTATTGTTAAATATCAAAAAAGGGTTGGAGTGGCTTTAGTATTAGAAAGATGTTCATATAACATCTAGGTCTTTCTCTAAGCTCCATTGTACATTTTCAATCAATTTTTGTCATTGTTAAATAAATAATAGGGAAGAAAAGTATAATAGAAACCCTTTTTATATGTATTACAGTATATAAAGTAAAAAATACACCATTTATCTGTCATATATCATAGATGAACATTTTTTGTTTCAGTGTCTGTCTGGTTTTTTTGACTCTAAAGTCGGGGCAAAGACTGAAATGGAAAGCTATAAGAACATTATCAATGACATTGGGGTTAAGCCGGAGGAGACGCTCTATGTGACAGACATGCCAGCAGGTAGGCGCAACTATCCATTAGTGAAAATTGATGTTGCTAGGTTTATCTTACTTTCAGATTGAAAACCTTGATTACGCATTCAGAAGCTTTGTGTGCATGATTACAGAATTGTAGTACATTACTAGTTACAAGCTGGTGCAATTTCTACAGTTATTTTAGTCCATTTTCTATTCTATGCATACATGTTTTGAATTTGATTTATATCAGGGTCATTTGTAATTCAAAATGCATGATTGAACAAGTTTTTTTTTTCTTTTTCTATTGCCCATCTACTAATGTCTAACATTTAGTCTACCCTTTTTGTTGTATTTTTCAGAGGCTCAAGCTGCTGGTAAAGCTGGTATTGGTGTGTTTCTGTTGAACAGACCAGAGAACCCTGCTTTATCTCAGGACGACCTCAAGGATTACAATGTTATCTCCTCACTGACTGAACTCTACGCCAGCAATGAGGCACCTTGTAAGAAAGCAACCAATGGGGCCGATGTGGCCCAGGTCGAGGGTGAGGAGGCGGAGGCTGAAGATGAGGAAGGCGAAGAGGATGTAGTTGATGATGAAGAGGAGGAGGATCTGGATGGAGAGGACGAAGAAGGAGAAGAGGAGGAGGAGGAAGAAGAAAACTGAAAAGACTCCGAAACAATTGACTTTGGAGGATGACTATACCTCATCATATTCTGAGATAAATAGACTTTGTTCTAGAGTATTTATATCTTAATATAGAATGCAGCATATTTTTAGACTGTCCTACCACAAAGTCTGAGTTGTTCAGAGTGTTTGTACTTAAGATTGTTTAGTGGAAATTCATTTATATATATATTTTTGTAGGCAAGTTATAGGTATATTGTCAGTTACATGATCTCGCTACTATTCTCCAGAACACTAAGATGATTTGGTGTAACTGAGAGCTTTACATATTATCTATTACTACAGCACTGTAGTTTTTTCCTGTACTAATATTATATTTTATACATGTTGTGCACATAAATGTTTTAGATGGCAGCTGTTTTTTTGCTGTATTTTGTACTGTACTTTTTAAGTTTACTATTCTCTAGAAATGATATTAGGGCTTTCTTTAGTATTTTTTTTAAAGTCTGGTTTATCACAACAAAACCAGTTTGTGAATTTTCAGTAACATTGTATACAATTTGTATTGCATTGATGAACCTTTGGATGTTTCTAAGTCATTTTTTTTTTGTTGTTTACACTCCTATACCATTTCTGGTGCAGATCCATTATTAGAGATGGTTGTGAAATTGACTCATTAATGGTCCAGAACTTAATCAATTTTTCCTTTTTTGCAATATTTTGATCAAATTTTATGTAACTTGCATTAATGGACGTGGTGCTTGGTTAAGAGAGTAATCAAATTTTCTTTTTTACAAATTAGCAAGAAATGGTGCAAGCATATCAAGCAGGTTTTCATTTTGTTTCAGGACGATGTATTGCATCTGTATTAGAAGTTTTTTTACTTCCAGGCATTGGACCAAACTTGTGGAATTTGAATCATTCACAATATCTGAATCTGTTGTACTTAATTTTGTTCTTTGAATAAGTAAAAAAAAATAAAGAAATGTTGTAAGCCATTACATACTATATTTATTTCATAGGAAATTGACAAATACGGAAACCAAGACCAACTCCAACATGAAGGTCGTCAGTTCAGAGAAAGCAATTTGTGTTGAATTGTCAAATCTACAAAAAGGCCTTCATAAACTAGATTACTTAATAGTCCCACCATCTTTACATTAAAAAAGAAAGAACATAATTATTAAGATCTGTACTGAAAAGATTTGTTTCTTGAATTAGAATTGATATATAAACTGTACAGATCTGTACTGGAAAAGGGGTAACATTCTTTATCAGTTTTGGCTAGACCCCGATTTATGAAGGCCCCATGTACTACAAATGTTTGCATTCACTGCAAATTAACTGCAAATTTTCTTGAATGAAACCATCAGAACACTGTTGTAGATTAAATACTCTTCACCTGTTACCAAACCAAAAACATCTTTCGCCCAAGTATAAGTAAACAAAAATAAGAGGTAACGTAACAAAATGCATCTTTCTCAAGCTGACCAAAGACTAAGGATCCTCAATAAATCAAATGTAAGAATGTGCCTTTTCAAAGTGAACGACCTGCTTCAGTTTTACTAGACAACTAGTCTCAAGACCTCTCCCAACCTTATAACAATGGTACATCAGCAAGTTATAAGTACTCTTGCCCTTATGGAATGTAAAAATTACTGACAATTCCATTTACCACATTGTCCCAGTGAAGTCCAGACACCTGACAGAACACACCATGGTATGGTACCATCATCTGATGATAGCAAACATGGTTGTCATTGCATTAAGATGTCTGCTTCTCGTAAATCTAAAATGAAGCTGCCCTTACTTTCTTGGCTAGATTTTCTAACAAGGGAAAGTTGGCAGCTTCCTCGAAATACAACATCCTTTGTTGTCGAAACCATACAATGAAGACAGTACTTAATAATGTACATGCTGAAGCTATAACTAACTTCTACCCAAGCTTCCAATTTAGGATTCAAGGGGCCCAAGATTCCAGGGTCCCAACTAGAATGTAAATTTACCCTATTAGCACCATTTTGAAAATTTAATAGTCATCTAGTACTGTCTTTCTGGATCATAATGTGTTTGTCTTGCCATTCACTTCCACCCACATCTTCTAAATATAATAACCCAATCAAATAACCCAATTAATTTAAGTGCAGTGCTTGAGCATTGTACAACATAATAAATTACATGAACATCCTTTGAATTTGTATAATTATTCAGCTTAAATTCACATTCGTACCAACTTGTTTTTACAATGAAGTAGGTTACTAGCACATATTGACAGAAAAGCTGGATATTGGTACTTTAATTATATTGGGGACAGCACTACAAATTCCTACAATTATGAACTAAACATTTATACTTTCATAAAGAGACAAAGTTCCTTTCATACTGTCCATTGCTCTTGGCTATATATCAAGCAGTACCTTGTTGCATCGTGACAAGAAAAGGGAAATACATTGAACTCTGTGGTGCTGTCCCAAAACACCAAGATATACTATTTGTATTGAGAACTTTTAGCCATTACACACTCCAGCAATGATAAATCTACATTTAATAATGTCCAAGGTCCAAATTTGGCATTTCAGTAGCCAGCTGATCAAGATACTCGATATAAGGATACCCTACAGCAAGAACAACAAACATTTGGTGTTTGTATTATTAAACAGATTAACAGTTTTCAATTCCATTTTCAATGTTTTGNGCTGCCTTGTTTTTTTTTTTTTTTTTTTTTTTTTTTTTTTTTTTTTTTTTTTTTTGCATTTTGCATTTTGCAGTTTTTTTAAAGGTCAACATTCTTTTCTGGATATGTGAAAATCAAGTAGAATAATTATGCTTCATTTTATCATGGTTGTTTTGAAATATTCAGGCGCAACAAGATAAAGAAGCTGGCACTGAAGGGGTGGTTGAAGTCAAGGCTGCTGCTGATCCCCAGGAGGAGGTGATTGCTAGCATTACAGAGAACCTGAAATGGCAGATGAGCCAGGAGAAAGCAACAACAGCAGCCTGTCAGCTTCAGTCCCAGATTTTGAGGGAGGCATTTAAAATGGAGAAGATGAAAGGAAAGTAAGTATTTAAAGGACAGTCCCAGTTGCTTTCAGAAGTGATACAGCTTTTCAGATTGCAGAATGAAGTCCATTTACATGGTGATTATTTCAGGTACAAATTTTTCTACGCATAAAATCTGGTTGTTTCTTGAACCAAATGTTTTTCCAGTTTAATTTTATATCAATAGTGATACAGAATGTTGTGAAGATATTTTTCATAGAATCCCATGTATTCAGTCCTCTGTTTTGTTTCATTTAGATTGTTTGATGATGTGGTGCCTGCCCTAAAAGAGGTTGCCACTGACAGCAGACAGGTGTATCTGTTCTCCACTACCAGCATGGATGTACAGAAATTACTCTTCACATACTCTGCACAAGGAGATAACTCAAAGGTAGACATATAATTGCTCTATTAAGCCACAGCCCTCCGTGCATCTGGTATATTATCATGGTTATTCTAGCATATTATTTATCTAACCAAATAATTGTTTTATCACCACATCAGTGATCAACTTGAATAAAAACTGTCTCACATTTCTCATTTCCTTTAGCCAAAGTTGAACATCTGGTGAACTTAGACCTTAAAGACCCTCTTTTATACACAAAACATTGTTTAATATTTTGGGGAAGATTTGTGCTACCATTAAAACATGGCTGTGTTTTTAAATTGAATAATATGTTGGGGACTATGAAGTCCTGTATTTTAATTGATACTAGAAAGCAGATAGGCAATAAAGTGAGTTGATATCTAGCTTAGAAATAGAAATTTCATTTGACTCCACTCAAGATGACGCTGTTCCTATGCCAATATACTTATTCACAGTGTAGTTGCTATGGCAACTAATAAGATGATATTTAGGAATATATTGATATTAGAACAGAGGCAGTTTTTATCCTTCTTTCAACTGTCTGTAATTACTCTCTGTTATAATTAAACTAACACACACCAAAAAGATTATTGGGAAAATGCTAAAAGGTGTTCCATTTGGCCATAGATGATTAAAATGTTGTCTCTGGTGTACATTATGTTATTTCATAAAAGTAACTACTAGTCTTATTGTTAAATATCAACAAAGGTTTGGAGTGGCTTTAGTATTAGAAAGATGTTCATATAACATCTAGGTCTTTCTCTAAGCTCCATTGTACATTTTCAATCAATTTTTGTCATTGTTAAATAAATAATAGGGAAGAAGAGTAGAAACCCTTTTTATATGTATTTCAGTATATAAAGTAAAAAATACACCATTTATCTGTCATATATCATAGATGAACATTTTTTGTTTCAGTGTTTGTCTGGTTTTTTTGACTCCAAAGTCGGGGCAAAGACTGAAATGGAAAGCTATAAGAACATTATCAATGACATTGGGGTAAAGCCGGAGGAGACGCTCTATGTGACAGACACGCCAGCAGGTAGGCGCAACTATCCATTAGTGAAAATTGATGTTGCTAGGTTTATCTTACTTTCAGATTGAAAACCTTGATTACGCATTCAGAAGCTTTGTGTGCATGATTACAGAATTGTAGCACATTACTAGTTACAAGCTGGTGCAATTTCTACAGTTATTTTAGTCCATTTTCTATTCTATGCATACATGTTTTGAATTTGATTTATATCAGGGTCATTTGTAATTCAAAATGCATGATTGAACAAGTTTTTTTTTCTATTGCCCATCTACTAATGTCTAACATTTAGTCTACCCTTTTTGTTGTATTTTTCAGAGGCTCAAGCTGCTGGTAAAGCTGGTATTGGTGTGTTTCTGTTGAACAGACCAGATAACCCTGCTTTATCTCAGGACGACCTCAAGGATTACAATGTTATCTCCTCACTGACTGAACTCTACGCCAGCAATGAGGCACCTTGTAAGAAAGCAACAAATGGAGCCGATGTGGCCCAGGTCGAGGGTGAGGAGGCGGAGGCTGAAGATGAGGAAGGTGAAGAGGATGTAGTTGATGATGAAGAGGAGGAGGATCTGGATGGAGAGGACGAAGAAGGAGAAGAGGAGGAGGAGGAAGAAGAAAACTGAAAAGACTCCGAAACAATTGACTTTGGAGGATGACTATACCTCATCATATTCTGAGATAAATAGACTTTGTTCTAGAGTATTTATATCTTAATATAGAATGCAGCATATTTTTAGACTGTCCTACCACAAAGTCTGAGTTGTTCAGAGTGTTTGTACTTAAGATTGTTTAGTGGAAATTCATTTATATATATTTTTGTAGGCAAGTTATAGGTATATTGTCAGTTACATGATCTCGCTACTATTCTCCAGAACACTAAGATGATTTGGTGTAACTGAGAGCTTTACATATTATCTATTACTACAGCACTGTAGTTTTTTCCTGTACTAATATTATATTTTATACATGTTGTGCACATAAATGTTTTAGATGGCAGCTGTTTTTTTGCTGTATTTTGTACTGTACTTTTTAAGTTTACTATTCTCTAGAAATATTAGCCTAAGGGCTTTCTTTAGTATTTTTTTTAAAGTCTGGTTTATCACAACAAAACCAGTTTGTGAATTTTCAGTAACATTGTATACAATTTGTATTGCATTGATGAACCTTTGGATGTTTCTAAGTCATTTTTTTGTTGTTTATACTCCTATACCATTTCTGGTGCAGATCCATTATTAGAGATGGTTGTGAAATTGACTCATTAATGGTCCAGAACTTAATCAATTTTTCCTTTTTTGCAATATTTTGATCAAATTTTACGTAACTTGCATTAATGGACGTGGTGCTTGGTTAAGAGAGTAATCAAATTTTCTTTTTTACAAATTAGCAAGAAATGGTGCAAGCATATCAAGCAGGTTTTGATTTTGTTTCAGGACGATGTATTGCATCTGCACTAGAAGTTTTTTACTTCCAGGCATTGGACCAAACTTGTGGAATTTGAATCATTCACAATATCTGAATCTGTTGTACTTAATTTTGTTCTTTGAATAAGTAAAAAAAAATAAAGAAATGTTGTAAGCCATTACATACTATATTTATTTCATAGGAAATTGACAAATACGGAAACCAAGACCAACTCCAACATAAAGGTCATCAGTTCAGAGAAAGCAAATTGTGTTGAATTGTCAAATCTACAAAAAGGCCTTCATAAACTAGATTACTTAATAGTCCCACCATCTTTACATTAAAAAAGAAAGAACATGATCATTAAGATCTGTACTGAAAAGATTTGTTTCTTGAATTAGAATTGATATATAAATTGTACAGATCTGTACTGGAAAAGGGATAACATTATCAGTTTTGGCTAGACCCCGATTTATGAAGGCCCCATGTACTACAAATGTTTGCATTCACTGCAAATTAACTGCAAATTTTCTTGAATGAAACCATCAGAACACTGTTGTAGATTAAATACTCTTCACCTGTTACTAAACCAAAAACATCTTTCGCCCCAGTATAAGTAAACAAAAATAAGAGGTAACGTAACAAAATGCATCTTTCTCAAGCTGACCAAAGACTAAGGATCCTCAAAAAATCAAATGTAAGAATGTGCCTTTTCAAAGTGAATGACCTGCTTCAGTTTTACTAGACAACTAGTCTCAAGACCTCTCCCAATCTTATAACAATGGTACATCAGCAAGTTATAAGTACTCTTGCCCTTATGGAATGTAAAAATTACTGACAATTCCATTTACCACATTGTCCCAGTGAAGTCCAGACACCTGACAGATCACACCATGGTATGGTACCATCATCTGATAATAGCAAACATGGTTGTCATTGCATTAAGATGTCTGCTTCTCGTAATTCTAAAATGAAGCTGCCCTTACTTTCTTGGCTAGATTTTCTAACAAGGGAAAGTTGGCAGCTTCCTCGAAATACAACATCCTTTGTTGTCGAAACCATTCAATGAAGACAGTACTTAATAATGAACATGCTGAAGCTATAACTAACTTCTACCCAAGCTTCCAATTTTGGATTCAAGGGGCCCAAGATTCCAGGGTCCCAACTAGAATGTAAATTTACCCTATTAGCACCATTTTGAAAATTTAATAGTCATCTAGTACTGTCTTTCTGGATCATAATGTGTTTGTCTTGCCATTCACTTCCACCCACATCTTCTAAATATAATAACCCAATCAAATAACCCAATTAATTTAAGTGCAGTGCTTGAGCATTGTACAACATAATAAATTACATGAACATCCTTTGAATTTGTATAATTATTCAGCTTAAATTCACATTCGTACCAACTTGTTTTTACAATGAAGTAGGTTATTAGCACATATTGACAGAAAAGCTGGATATTGGTACTTTAATTATATTGGGGACAGCACTACAAATTCCTACAATTATGAACTAAACATTTATACTTTCATAAAGAGACAAGTTCCTTTCATACTGTCCATTGCTCTTGGCTATATATCAAGCAGTACCTTGTTGCATCGTGACAAGAAAAGGGAAAAACATTGAACTCTGTGGTGCTGTCCCAAACCACCAAGATATACTATTTGTATTGAGAACTTTTAGCCATTACACACTCCAGCAATGATAAATCTACATTTAATAATGTCCTAGGTCCAAATTTGGCATTTCAGTAGCCAGCTGATCAAGATACTCGATATAAGGATACCCTACAGCAAGAACAACAATCATTTGGTGTTTGTATTATTAAAGAGATTAACAGTTTTCAATTCCATTTTCAATGGTTTNATTGGAATTTCTTGAAATAAGACTGAAGCCAGATGGAATACTATAAAGCTGTGCAGGCTCAGATTCAAATAGTCGTGTGGGGTTAGTGCAGAAAAAGCAATAGTGATATGAATGTTTATGGCACACAGCTTTATTTTTAATCTGTTGCAGTATTGGATATTTCATCTAACCTAAACGGCTAGTCTTAACAGCTTAGCAAAGCAGAATTATACAATTTTTAATAGTGACAAACAACTCTAGTAAATGCAAGTCATTTTATTAAACGCAAAGCAAAATCTAAAACAGAGATTTTTTTAAAATCAGGTTATTCGATTCTTTGAAAATTTCGATTTGTTTCCATGTTTAGCCTTATCTCTGCACACAGCCACAAATCAACTAGTATATTACTTATCATTACTTAGGTCTTGCCAGACACATCAGGGAATTGTCAGGCTGTAACTATGGTTAATTTTTAAGTTTCCATTTGGGTTAATCAAAATGTGAATGCATACCAATCGTAGTGTTTTTTTTTTTTTCCTTCAAAATGTTGACCATTAAACAATATAACTTTTAAGCTTCCATTATGTGCTTAAAACTTTGACAATTTGAAAATGTTCACCCCCTTCCAGGAAGTATTGGTGCAAGTTAAGTTAAGTTTAATTTGGTTATCAAATCCTATATTTTACTTTGAAAATAATTGAAATGGCTAATCAAAATCAAGCAAACTGAAGCACAACATGAAATAAATACAATAACTAAATACATGTTAAACTAAACTTAAAAGAAAAAAAAATAATCATTTACTTTAAAACAGTCAAATATCAAGCACAAGGACTGCAAGCAAACAATCAAAATCCAACAAAACTAAACATGGTAACTTTCAAATTAAACAAAAAAACAATAACCGATGCAAGCCGACCCTATTTCCACAAATAAAAAGAGTAATTGGTAGCTAGTTTGTTAGATATCTCTGCACAATGCACTGCATGTCATTAAACATTGGCACCTTCTAACACTAGTATCACCAAGCCATGCATGCTAAAGTAAGTCTGTTATATTGTAAGTCAGGGGGAGAAGGGGTCTATCTTACCTTCCCAAATTAGAGTCAGAGTCGGAGGACCCTTTTCCTTTCAGTTTCTGTACCAGTTTAGCGCTGCTACGTCTAATGGATGCTCGTAGTTTGGAAAATGAACCACTGCGTTTTAGTTTCCCAGTCTAGTAGAAGGGCAAGTTAGAACAGAATATTAACTTTATCCCTCTAAATTAACCAATTATATGGTGGTTAAAAGATGACCTGATTTTTTTGGCCTTATGGGGGTAATTTAGTGGCATGTAGATCCATCACCAAAGTTACAGTGCAAACTTTAATACCCACGTACACTAGAAGAGATCCGACATCCAAGTTGTGACAACTAAAAGATGTACAACACAGCTGAAAGCATGCAAAGTTCATCAGACACACAACATAGATGCACAAGAAAAGCAAAGAATGAATTTCTTGACATAAGATAAAAAGAAATGATCGAATAAAAAATGCTACTAAAGAAAATCTGTGCACACCACCCATTATCACAATGTTGGATACATTAAATGACTGAATATTTTTCTCCCAACCCAGCTGAAGTGCTTCTTGAACTATTACAGTTCCGTATAGAATGGCCACATAGTTATATGAAGAGGATTTTACATCCCTGGAAGGAAGGCTGATTTCATTTACATGGCTGTGAAACCTTCACAGTTCATCTTAATTAGTTTCTCATCTTTTGTTGTCACAGAAAAGAGAAATATTCCACGATATTTTTGAAGTAAATAGTAATCACAAATGACAGAAAGTCTGCCACTAGAGTTACCCCCACTATGGACCAACTGAGGATCTGTGCCTGCCACACAGGAGAGAAGACTTGCTGAAAGGAAGGCACACGTCAACTTCACAAGACAACAAAGCATCAGCATTGCATTATGTTGGAGCAAGATAATGTAAGTGGCGGACACTACACTCTCAGTGGATGCTGACCTATTCTAAATGATATCTATCCCAGTTAAAATACTATTACAAGACAAATCAGTTCTAAGTCACAATATTAATTACCATATTTTTTTTTAGAATTTGAATTAAAATATATTTGAGAATAGGCACTATTCCTAACTCCAAGGTTTAAGTGTACTGTCCACAGCTATTTAGAGTAGGTCTGATTTGATATATAGCCATATACATACAGCTCAAAATGCTGTGCTCTGTGCAGAAGCTTAGTCAACACAAAAATAAAGAGAAGACTGACTGTGCTTAAACTGCACCAACATATTCTGATACAATGCAGAGGATCCTTGTTTAAACAATATATGCTTTAAAAAGGAGTAGCAGAAGATATTTGGCAACTGATTTAAATTTATAAAATAGATAAGACTGAAGTGTAATCAGGCTTTGATGTAGGTCAAAAGAAAACAAAAGGGAGCAAGTAATGAGAAATGCAACAAATTTTGCGTATAAAAGATTGCAGTTCAGTTCTAGTTGCCTTTCAAGTCCCCAAATAAGTTGATAACATGGAAGCTTCACAATTTCCACACTTATGTTGAAAACATACATATTTTCATTCATCTACATATGCATGTATATATTTTGAATGGTCCAATAAATAGTTGCTGAAAACTAACAAAAGTTCCAAAGGTTGTTTATGTGGAGTAAAAGTACTAAACAGTGCTATAATTGTATTTATATAAGTATAATTATATATTAATATCTTAACAAAGACAATGAAAAATACAATTATCTCACATAAGTAATGAGCACTGTAAGTATGAGTACAGAAAATAGTGTGTTCTAATCAAATATNTAAATACATGTTAAACTAAACTTAAAAGAAAAAAAAATAATCATTTACTTTAAAACAGTCAAATATCAAGCACAAGGACTGCAAGCAAACAATCAAAATCCAACAAAACTAAACATGGTAACTTTCAAATTAAACAAAAAAACAATAACCGATGCAAGCCGACCCTATTTCCACAAATAAAAAGAGTAATTGGTAGCTAGTTTGTTAGATATCTCTGCACAATGCACTGCATGTCATTAAACACTGGCACCTTCTAACACTAGTATCACCAAGCCATGCATGCTAAAGTAAGTCTGTTATATTGTAAGTCAGGGGGAGAAGGGGTCTATCTTACCTTCCCAAATTAGAGTCAGAGTCGGAGGACCCTTTTCCTTTCAGTTTCTGTACCAGTTTAGCGCTGCTACGTCTAATGGATGCTCGTAGTTTGGAAAACGAACCACTGCGTTTTAGTTTCCCAGTCTAGTAGAAGGGCAAGTTAGAACAGAATATTAACTTTATCCCTCTAAATTAACCAATTATATGGTGGTTAAAAGATGACCTGATTTTTTTTGGCCTTATGGGGGTAATTTAGTGGCATGTAGATCCATCACCAAAGTTACAGTGCAAACTTTAATACCCACGTACACTAGAAGAGATCCGACATCCAAGTTGTGACAACTAAAAGATGTACAACACAGCTGAAAGCATGCAAAGTTCATCAGACACACAACATAGATGCACAAGAAAAGCAAAGAATGAATTTCTTGACATAAGATAAAAAGAAATAATCGAATAAAAAATGCTACTAAAGAAAATCTGTGCATACCACCCATTATCACAATGTTGGATACGTTAAATGACTGAATATTTTTCTCCCAACCCAGCTGAAGTGCTTCTTGAACTATTACAGTTCCGTATAGAATGGCCACATAGTTAAATGAAGAGGATTTTACATCCCTGGAAGGAAGGCTGATTTCATTTACATGGCTGTGAAACCTTCACAGTTCATCTTAATTAGTTTCTCATCTTTTGTTGTCACAGAAAAGAGAAATATTCCACCATATATTTGAAGTAAATAGTAATCACAAATGACAGAAAGTCTGCCACTAGAGTTACCCCCACTATGGACCAACTGAGGATCTGTGCCTGCCACACAGGAGAAAAGACTTGCTGAAAGGAAGGCACACGTCAACTTCACAAGACAACAAAGCATCAGCATTGCATTATGTTGGAGCAAGATAATGTAAGTGGCGGACACTACACTCTCAGTGGATGCTGACCTATTCTAAATGAGAAATATCTCTATCCCAGTTTAAATACTATTATAAGACAATTCAGTTCTAAGTCACAATATCCATTACCATATTTTTTTTAGAATTTGAATTAAAATATATTTGAGAATAGGCACTATTCCTAACTCCAAGGTTTAAGTGTACTGTCCACAGCTATTTAGAGTAGGTCTGATTTGATATATAGCCATATACATACAGCTCAAAATGCTGTGCTCTGTGCAGAAGCTTAGTCAACACAAAAATAAAGAGAAGACTGACTGTGCTTAAACTGCACCAACATATTCTGATACAATGCAGAGGATCCTTGTTTAAACAATATATGCTTTAAAAAGGAGTAGCAGAAGATATTTGGCAACTGATTTAAATTTATAAAACAGATAAGACTGAAGTGTAATCAGGCTTTGATGTAGGTCAAAAAGAAAACAAAAGGGAGCAAGTAATGAGAAATGCAACAAATTTTGCGTATTAAAGATTGCAGTTCAGTTCTAGTTGCCTTTCAAGTCCCCAAATAAGTTGATAACATGGAAGCTTCACAATTTCCACACTTATGTTGAAAACATACATATTTTCATTCATCTACATATGCATGTATATATTTTGAATGGTCCAATAAATAGTTGCTGAAAACTAACAAAAGTTCCAAAGGTTGTTTATGTGGAGTAAAAGTACTAAACAGTGCTATAATCGTATTTATATAAGTATAATTATATCTTAATATCTTAACAAAGACAATGAAAAATACAATTATCTCACATAAGTAATGAGCACTGTAAGTATGAGTACAGAAAATAGTGTGTTCTAATCAAATACTGGTCAACTGGCATGTCACTAAATTATAGAGGTATTGGAAGATGGGTTAAAAAAAGATTAAGACATTTCTCATGCGCGAGTCTATATTGCAAACAAATCATTTGTGCAAGATTGTGAAATTGGAGGTGAATGTGTTAGAGTTGATATAATAATAACTACAAATACCGATTCATTCTTGAAGAGAAAATTATGGAAAACTTGAAAATAAATTTTATGCACAATACCATTCCATGCAGTAATACTAAGAAAATATTTCTGTTCCCAGTTGAAGGTAAAAACATGTTAAATCATGCATATAAAAGATTATCAAGTAAATTCCTAAAAGCCAACTCCATTTGTGAATAGAATGGTCTTATACAGATTTAAAAGAAATGACCATTCCTTATGCCAAGCCAGTGACTATAAATAATTACAAAATTAAAACTGAATCTGAAATCTTAAGCCACAGCAAACAAGTCAGGTAGAAGATAATTTGTTAACATGCACCAAATCAAGTCAATTGTTGCAACAACCACAAAGCAAATGTCTTCTAAATTCAAAAATAAACTATGAGGATAGCTAACAGATTGAGCAAGCCAGGCGATAGGCAAAAATCCAGAAACTTATTAATTCAGAAAGAAAATAAACAAACAAAAGAAAAAGAAATAAACAAACCTAAGAAACTACATTTTCTTCACTAAAATAAAGACAAATTTGGCAAAATAGCATAACAGAGACTTAAAGGAGCACTGATAAAGGGGTGGTTTTGTTAGTAAGAAAAGAACAAATACAATAAGCAGTATAACATGCCACTCTTCACAGGCTAAGAACACACTATTGATACTGAGAAACATTCCAACACAACCATCTATACTATGACTAATGTTTCAGAAATGTCAGAGTAGATATATATATATATATCACTTTAGTCGAGCAGTGAGGACATGCAGAGTACAGTTGTCTCATCACTTGGCCGGTATTTAAAAAAATATAAACAATGGCTTTATCTTTTTTTCATGCTTTTGTTTTCAAAATATCTGAATGACCATTAGATAACAAAGACATTTTTAAAATAATAACAAATTGAATAACTCTACACAAACTAGAAATTTTTAAATAAAAAGTATACAGAAACTACAACGAGACATCAACCACTATCCAGTGCATGTTGGAATGTTTCTTGTGCTGTACTCATACGTACCCCGTCGCCCTGCCAATCGATGCTGATACTCACATCATCAGCATTACCACCACTCTTGTCGTAAGAGACACTATCTGCAGAGTCTCGGCGCATGCGATCTTTACTGCTGGAGCGCTTCTTCTCTTTTGGGGTATTTTGATCTTTGCCTTCACTTCCGAGCACTTCAGCAATCTTGGTTTGCCGCACAACATCGAGCGCCTGAACCAAAACATTAAAGTTGATACCCCTCATGCACATTTATTTCACAGTCAAGGGAAAACTTAATAAATGACAGCATCAAATGGAGAAACAGCCAAAGTATTAAGGCCAAACTTACAAAAATAGGTGATAATGCTACATATTGAAGCTGCATTATTTACATATCATATATTTAAGCATCTTAATGAGAGCAACATATCTAAAATAGAAAAAAAAAACTGCAGCTGATATCAATACACATTTGCCAAATGATTTATCAAACATGCAGGCTGTCCACAAAGACAATATATGCTATCTTTAACATTAATGGGAAACAAGCCACTTGAATTCCATAGAACATGAACAGAAAACATGAGGCTTGGATCATTGGATGTAATAAAAACCACTTTAACAAGCTTCGATGAAAATGTAAGCAATAGCATAAAAATTGACCTGCAATAATCATCTGCACAAACTTACATTCTTTCTAGACCTTATGGCACATTCTTCAAGCGTCTCTGCAGCTTCATATTTGCCCTGCCTTCTGTAGAGGGCTCCCAAGTTTTTCAAAGTGGTGGTAACAGTAGGGCTAGAATAAGAAGCATAACAGATGAGTAAAATATCATGAGTGACCTTTAGTAACAGAAGCCCATCAACTGTGTCATCAATTTGTCATCATTTCCTTCAATCTCTTGACTAATGTTGTAAATTGAAGAAAATATCCATTAAATACCAATATCATTTTGTGGGATTTCTTTAACAGATTGGTTTCTAAGATAAAGTCAAAATGAACTTTTATTACATACTATCATTACATCATATCTGTACATACATTATGTGAAAAAGTTTTTCTCCTCACCTGTCTACCTTGGCAGCCTTGTGCCAGCCTCCATACTCTCCATATGGGGCATTATCCTTGAACTTGCCCTAAAATGGCATTAAATAAACAGTTCCATTCATTATATCATACACCATCATGTTATGCCATATTATAAAACCAAAATTGGTAGGGTATTATTATGTAATGATATTTTACAATCTTTACTCACTAATTTAATAATAGAGGGAGCTGTATTTTTTTTAATATATCATCCTAAATTGTCAAACAATCAGAGGATAAAGAGAAGAGAAAATATAAATATTCATTTCTGCATCAAGGCAAGGCTCTTTTTTTTAATAAGCAACTTTTGCAGATATGCTGTAACCAGAGATGTTGAAATTCAAAGTCCAAAATGCAATGGTTTTCATCACAACATAATTGAAAAACACCATTACCCTCCCCCCTCCACCCTTTCCAGCTCTAGTATGGCATCAATTCCAGATAAAAAAACCCAAGATGTGTGGAATGGGATATTTAAAACCAAACAAAAAGCAAGTCTGTAGTTGACAATGAAGAAACCAGCCAGAATCTCACTGACCAACAGCAAAAATACTGAGAACCAACCCACAAACGCGTTTAAGTAAGGTTTACGTGGAAAAAGTAGTTATTGATTAAGAAATTGCTTAACAGAAAGGACTGATCTTTTTCATTTACATCTTAGTTATAAATAAATGTATCAAAACAATACACAGCAAGCCTATTAATTGTCAGACAAAGTTAATAAATATTATCTTAAACAAACAAAAAAAATCCATTATGCATCACTGCTGTTACAAGTTTTCTTCACTTCAAATGTTGAGCTTAAAATTTTGGTATAAAAAAAAAATCATGTGAATTCATAGTGCAGTTAGCAACTCTGAGTACATCTTAATGCTTAGAAATGCAAATAAGCCGAGAAAAAAATTGATGCAAATAAAGCTGGAAGATGTAGTCTGGGTAAAAGAAACAACATCAACACAGTGCCACAGCATGCAATGTATACTTACAACATACAAATGCTAATAAAATGCAACAGAACAGAAATGGGCTTAGTTGAATGGAAAAATAACAACATAAAAATGAAACATGAATATATGATGACAAATTGCAAGGCAGGAAAACAAAAAAACAGTGCAGTTAGTAATTATAACAAAATTTATTACAAACTGATCAATGTAATAACTTCCAATTATCAAACTTAATAAAACAATCTCTTTTGATTAATCTTTCAATTTCCCAAATGACTCTATTCTACAATCTCACTTCCACAGAAAAAGAAAATTGAAATCAAAAATATACATACATAAATAATTCTGTAAGTTTTGAGTATTTCTAGACAGCTTTGTTTTATAAGCTCAAGCCTTAATTCAAAAGACTTTTTGCATATAAAACAAAATGTGCTACACGGCAAGCATCTCACTACATACATCTCCTTGATAAAGCAAACATATTCATTCTCAAAGAAAAAGTCAACCAAAACTGAAGCAGACAAAAAAAATACTATAATATATATATGCAATAGACAAAACAAACACAAACCAACAAATTAATACAAACATGTGCGTAATTAGTCAGAGTCAGCTTCTAAAGTTCCACATTCTATGCTCCAGGCGGTTCAGATCATGTGGAATTTTAGTACATCTGTCACGTGCAAGGGACAGGGAGAGTTTAGAATATAATATCTTTTATATAATGTGCATCTTAGCAAGAGTATGTGTTAGTAGCATATCAAAAAGTCATCTTGTTAACTGTGTAATAGTTCCCGTTTCCATCATGCACGGTGTATGACAGTAAGATGTCAAGGTGGCCACACTCAGCATGTGAAGTAGTCACACAGCGAAAAACCCTCACCTTGTTCTCCTCTCTCTCCTCCGCCTGCATCCAGATGGGCTTATTGTCACCTGGAAGGAAAACGCTTCAAAGTTAGTGTTGACTGTGTAAAGTGTCAGGAATATTTCTAGCCTTATCAAAATCATTGCCCCTGGGACAGTAACACCTTCTTCAGAGGAAAACCTCTCAATAAAACTAAAGTTGTGATATACAAAATCCTCTCATAACTGACTCTAAATCTAACTAAATTTTCACTTTTACGCCAAAGACATTAATGTTTTATTTCTAAAAATTAAAATTAACTGAAGAGCTTGAAACTAAATTGCTTTCTTCAAATCAAAAGATGAGGAATATTAAATTAAGTTTAAACCCACCATCCACTTTCCCAAATTCCTTTTCATGTGCCCTAGTGAGAACCTCTTTGTAAAGGATTTCAGCTTGCTTGTATTTCCCTTGCTTCAGGTAGGCAGAGGCCTGAATTAGCATATAAATAGTTGAATATCACCCAATAAAAACAAAGTTGTCAACACGGGATATATCATCATGTTATTAACATTTCAATATCAGCCCAACACAAATGAGTCTGTGGTAAAAGAAATGCAGAATGCAACTGCTAACAGGTGGAGCTGGCAACCCTGTATATCTATAGAACAGAATATTCAGTAATAAACCATCAATAGCTTTAACAGGTAATTCCTTGGTGATTTACAGAAAAAACATATTGCTAGCTATATAAAGTTCTAATGTGCAATGTATGTCTTTAACTACTACAATAAAATGAATCTGTTGAGTTAGAACTATTGACGTAGAATAACGTGAAGTTCCACTTTTAAGCTGTGATAGTCTTTTTGCCGAACACACTACAGTCTGCACTTACTAGATTATTCTTTGTCTTGGCAACATTAGGATCATCAGGTCCTAATTTGGTCTCATAGATCTCCAGTGCTCTCTGGTAGTACTGTTCCACCTAGAAGTAAATGATTAATGTACATGAAAACTGATATATTAAAGAGAAGAATGGCCAAAATGCTGCCAAATTGAAACAGAATTGAATAAAAAACTAATAACTGATCTTTGAATATCTTGTGGATTCACAACCAAAAGCCGTCCCTGCAAAGACCCTTCTTGCATTTTATCAAAAAACACAACTCTATTCTGACCATTTATATTAACCATCTCCATATGAAACTTAAAATAATTCAAAACAATGTATCTACCTCTTCATATTTCCCTTGGTTCTGACATAGCAAGGCCAAGTTATTCAACTGTTTGGCAACATCTGGGTGATCCTTGCCCAAGACCTGTAATTACACAAGACGTTCCATGAAAACACAACTCTGATACATCTACAGCCTATAAATCTCTGGGGGAGCAAGCAGCTGTGATGTAACATAAGGTTAAGTAACTCATTTTTCAAATGTGACTCAAAAGCACAATCAATCTCTGGCTTTAGCTAAAAAAAAAAGAAGAAAAATTGGGGTTGAGTAACAAAAGCTTTAAGTGAACTTCATAAATGCTTGTCTGGGCCAAAGGCAAAAATTATATATATATATCTCCTGTCAAGAGAGACTCCTAACCTTCCACACTGAAACATTCTATATACAATCTATGCACACAATCTATATACATACATACCTTTTCTCTAATTTCAAGAGCTCTTTTACAGAGAGGTTCCGCTTCCTTGTACTTCCCCCTCTTTCCATACAAAACTGCAAGATTATTCAATGTGGCTGCAACCTAAAGATATAATAGTATTACACTTTTTTTAGTAACCATACCCCTTTGCAATACAACTCCACATAAAACACCACTTACAACAGTATAATGACAGCACAATTCATAGGAGTTAAGTTACATTTATATTATTTATGCAACATTTGAATATTTTCTATATATAGTGAAAAGCTGTTGACAATTTCAGGCCTTATAAAGGGATTAGGCATTTACTGACACTACCAGCAGATCTTTTAGCACTAACACCCATATTAACCACATAACCCACAAATTATCTAACACACCGTAAAAGTATGAACCACTTCCATAGCAATACCTAGCACTACCAATGGTAGTGGTAAATACTTTTACAGTGTGTTGGTTAATCCATGGGTTATGTGGTTAATATGGGCATCAGTGTTAAAAGATCTGCAGGTAGTGTTAGTAAAATGCCTAATCCATTTATAATTCTTAATTTTAAGCATCATGATAAAAAACAAATAAGGCATACATATTGAAGACTACTGCATGCTGTTTTGTGTTATAATTCCAGTTTCCTGGGTAAAAAATAAGTATATTAAAGCTCAAACATTGTACACAAATGATTCAATGATTGAATTGGGAACATGCAACTTCACATTCAGAAGACTTTGGCATCATTCACATGAAAAATCCAAATTCCAAAAATCTATTGGCAGTATTAAGTGATCACAGTCTGCGCCCTGAATACCCCGAGGCGTAATTAACTAGCAGAGCGAGCAAGTTACTTCCAAAGCTGTAATTAAATCTCGGTTGCACTCGGAGGAGATTCTGACACCAGGAAACATGCGCAGTAACAAGTTGGAGAGAAAGAAAATGGCATTTAGAGATACTACTGCGCATGCATCCAGGTGTCAGAATCTCCTCCGAGCGCAGCCGAGAATTAATTGCAGCTTTTGAAACGACTCGCTCCCGCTGCTAGTTAATTACGCTGTTGGGTATTCAGGGCACAGACCGTGATCACTAGATACTGCCAATGGATTTTTGGATTTTTGGAATTTGGATTTTTCATGTGAACAATGCCTTTTTATTATTGTAATTCCATTAAAATTCAACTTCAGTGGTCACAACAAGCATGCAGTTATCTTCAAAGCTGCAGCAAAATAATATAACGCACAAGGCAATAATAAAACAGGCTGCCATGCTAATCAAACAGTTTCTTTTGTGCAAGGTAAATCAGATATAAAAGGTGAACAAAATTTGAAAAAAAAAAAACAAAATTTTCACAATGGTACAGTTAAACAAATGGGAAAATTTTGGGTGACACATTTTACCCTTGGCATGGTAATGCAAATCATGCATCTCATGCTTGTAACATATCCTTTTAACCCTAAACATCCCTTGAAGAGCCAAAACCAAATATATATATATAAAATCTTCCAAAAATAAACAAAAAGAACTCAACTCTAATACTAATCCTTAATCTGCCTCATGCAATAATAATAATAATAATAATAGGAACATGACCATATCCATATGACTAAAATAAATAAATAAATAAATAAATAAATAAATAAATAAATAAATAAATAAATAAATAAACAAGAAACTCCATTTACAGTCTATGTTAGAACAATTAATGCCAATAGTATGATGCATATAACATGCAAATGCATTCAGTGCCCATATAAGGCAATAAATATATATAAGCATCAGCACTTAACAAAAAAAGTTCCCAGAAATTAGGATTATGTTAAAAGTAAATTAATAAACTACACAACTAAAATAACATACAAACACTTTGGGTTAAAACTACTAACAGTTGACCATCGTACTAGAAAGCTACCTGGACAATATGACCACAACCATTACAACCACAAGCTAGTAGTTTGCATGACATGAGAGCACATGCCAAGGGTAATGAGATAAATAACATCAACCACATTAAAGAGGATTTTAAAGGCCATGCTGGGATCACAGTCACTCACTGCAGGGTGATCAGGTCCAAGAGTTTTCTCTCTGATGCCTAGGGCATCATTTAACAGGTTGGCAGCCTCTTTGTATTTGCCTTGGTCTCTGAAATTACACAGTCATAAACATGTTAGCTTTCTATTCACTGCTGTGTGTTCTCCACTAGTTGGGCCTGTATCTAGCCACATGCTAATGCTCTCTGCTTTTTGGCATGACCTTCAACTTGGTAAAAGTGCAAGGTCATATGAAGTCTGAAAGGTCAAAGTTCAGCCAGGTTTAGCCTGAAATGACAGTCAATACTGTTCACACCAGCCACAGTGACTGCACTGATATCAACCCAATGTGTGGGGAACACATCCATTTAAGTTTTCCCTTTTCTCACTTACTGCTGGGTGGTCATATCCTAGAGTTTTCTCCCTGATCACTAAGGCATCATGCAATAAACTGCCTGCCTCTTTATATTTACTCTGGTCTCTGAAACACGAGCATTGTTATACAAGTCCAGTTCTTTTGCCTTGCCTGCCACCCTTAATATCTACCAAATTTTATTGTTTTTCAATTATAGTAACAATATTTATAAGTATACACTTTTAAATATCTGATATTCTTCTTGGCTAAGCTTCATAAAAACCTTGCACTGAACTGTATAAGTGAAAACAGTCATAATTCTGATAAGAGTGAAGGAGAAGTCCAATAATAAGAAATTTCACATGCAAACAGAATCAGCTTATATAACCTTAGAAGAAAAACAATTATCAAAACATGTTCTAGCTTAGTCTCAATAATGTTCCACAAAAAGAAATAAAAAAAAAACAAAAAAAAAAAACAATTTACAGTTACCCCCTACCTGTATACTAAGGCTAAAATGTTCAACATTGTAGCTACATCTGGATGGTCATGGCCACTTGTCTTCTCCAGATCTTCCAGTGCCTGTTTACACAGAGGCACTGCCACCTCATAGCGCCCTTGTGAAGCATACTGAATGACTAAGTTATGGAGTGTTCGTAGCCTTGCGGGAATTTCATATCCGCCAGCAGCTGCTTGAGACATCACCATGGGTTGAGATGGAGACATCACTGAAATATCAACATTTTGTATATAGTCTTCACCAGAAAGATGGAGATATCACTGAAATATGACCATTTTTTATGTGGTTTGCACCAGAAAGGTAGAGACATGTCACATCACCAAAATATCAGTATTTTGTATATAGTCTACACCAGAGAGACGGAATCATCACTGAAATATCAACATTTTGTATATAGTCTGCACCAGAGAGACATAGACTTCACTAAAATATCAACAATTTGTAAACATTCTGCACTAGAATGATGGAGACATCACTGAAATATCAGATTTTACATATAGTTTGCACCAGCAAGACTAAGACATAAATGAAATATTAAAATTCTGTACTTATAATTTATAGCATCACTCACAAAAAGATTTAAATATATAGTAAGTTATGCATGCTCAACTAATGTCAAGCAGATGTGTTAAAGAAAACTGCTGAATGCTGCTGCACACGAGCTCTCATGCGATACTTACTGCTGTCCTGCTGCTGATTATCTTCATCATCATCTGGGAAGCCAAGGTCTAGTGGGAGATTTTTGGAATCCTTCTCAGAACTGATTGGTTCTTGGTCAGGAGTTGTCTGGAACAATTATATAGTATCATACATATATATATTAATCAGTTAGTGTGGATGAACCTGTTATTATCCCTTACAACATGAGCTGTCTGTTGAAATTAATAAGAATTACCTTTTTTAATATGTATCATTACTTCTTACATGATGCTTGTGATGATGAACTGAGCAAGAAAACAAAATCTAAACATTTCAACATTTCATGGCTGGTTATTCTTATGTGACTACAGTATTAACTTATTATGAATAAACATGACTGACAAATCCCCTTCTAGAAAGTTGGTGGACTATAAACAGCTGTCTACAGAAAACTAACTCAAAAAGATATAAACCGATTTGCCCATTCAAATTTCAAGAAAGAGCTTGCAATCTTTTAGTTACAGGAAAAATTACTTACTTGTGTGGTATCTTCCTCGTCATATTTCCTCATTTCTTTCATAAATTCTAAATGTTTATTTTGTTCTTCAATTTCTGCAACTTTTTGTTCACTAAGTTGTAGCTTTTGTTGTGTGTTTGCAAGCTCATCACGTAGCCATGCATTTTCTTGACAAAGACGTCGAACTTGTGCTCTCAATTTTTGTTTTTCTGCTTCTACATGCTGCAGATGATTTGTAAGTGCCATCATAACCTGAAGATAAAAACAAGAATTATGTTAGAATGGATCCCTGTCAATATAATTAGCATTTTTCTTTGACATCATATTCATAGCAATCTAAACCCACTAATCCTTCTGTTAAGTGGGGATGTTTTTATTGTTGTTCTAAAATAATTACTATTTCTTTTCTTTTTTTATTTTGCATGTGTGACTTTGACTTTTAATCATCATCTCAAAGCTGAGTCTTAACCATCTTAGAAAAAACTATTGATTTTTGTTTATTCATAACGTTCAGACCCAGCAGACAAAACTGTTCTGGTAAAATGAAATTAGTGTCACATTGATAGAACTGAAAGCCTATTCATTTGCATTTTATTACAGATAAACAGTACAATTTCTGCAATTCAGACAGCACCTGTTCACAGACAAAAATCAAGATAGTTCCTAAACTATAAAATCAAAGAACAATCTTTCCAATTAAGAGGTGAAGTATGGTAAATGGATTATGTAAAGCTGTTTTTCATAGGTGATAGTAATTTATAGATCTACCAATTATTGCAATACTGAACATGTACAGCAAGTTTTCCTTTAACCATTTCAACCAAACATTTTAGGGAATCCACATTTGTTCAATGGATTGATAAACTTTAATACTGCCATGTTTGCAAAATGAGACACAGATCCACTAGTACTGCTCAAAGGTAAATATCAACACAAGATGAGATCTAAGATAACAGACAGACTGGCAATTCTTACAATGTGACCGCCATGTGTAATGGCAGATAGCTGTTTGCACATGCCCTCGTTGCACGTAAACTGCCTTTGCTATCGGTTTACAAATATCAACTCTGTTTTAATCTCCAGTAAGGAAGACATTATTGATTATCAGACAAATACATTATTTCCTTAGTTGTCCAAATACATGACTAAGTTTAAAGATGAGATTAACTTAGTTTTAAACAGTTAAATAGTATTTGCAATTTACTTGGATGGCATTAAGTTATCATGATAAAATGTCAAGTTTTCCTTTTACATTTAACTTTTCTTTTTTTTTTTTGGGGGGGGGGGCATTATTTTTTAATAGAAGAGAGTATTTCATGTTTTGAATCATTGCTTTTGGCATGCCAGCAATCTATGGTAAATGGGTATTGATTTTCTTTACTGTTTCCCATCCTAACATCAATAGCTGCAGCTGAAGCAGCAGTGAAATATAGCAGATATATGGCCAGCAATAGGTCAGACTGCAGCGAGTTGCCAGCACGCCAGCCCATAATGAATTTACACTTTCAATAATCTAGCGTTATCTCGGGCTTTTCAAGAGGTGTTTAACTCAATCTGAGTCTGTTCAGGCTAAAGAAAGCTTGTGTACAAGTTTCAGAAACATCCAAAATTAGATATTTTACAATAACAAAATCTTTTCCATCATAAAT